GCACTGGAAATGCTCACTGGACATCAGAAGGCCTCCCCTTGTCCACTGTCCTCTTCTAAAACACACGAGAGCAGAATTAAGCTGTTCTCGGCTTCCCCCACTCCAAGAAAACTCTGGAAAGCTCTTCTGCCCAGCCTCTGCTCATTCCCCCACGTTTTGCTTCCCTTGTTGGCAGAAGCCTGGGTGCGGGAAGCGGGGGGGAACCCATAGGTGTTTCTCTCTGCTTATCATTTAGTGGTTGGGACTCGAGCAAAAATGGCAAGGATGTTCCAACATTCAAAAGAGCGGCCAGCCTAAGGCCTGGGAGAGGCAGCGGAGGGTTGTGGGAACAAATCAAGCCCCCAAAACAATGGTTCCTGGGATCCAATACCACTGCTCCCTGGGAGAGTATCAGGCCCAAAACCCTGCGTCCATCCTCTTGAGGAGGGTAGGAGGCCGGCCCCAGCCAGAGTCAGACGGGGCGCGTCTGCGTTCTTCGCCCCTGCTTGGGAGCAACAGGACGGGGTAGTGTGGACAAGGAATCAAGGCTCTGTGGCAGGTGGCCTTGGCAAGCAGACCATGAATGATGGAGGGGTGCTGAGGAGGATGGAAGGGGGTGAAGGGAGAGGGCAGGCGGCAGAGGTGGCGGTAAGGCCAGCCCCGAGTCCACAACAGGTAGGTGCTGGTGAGGCGGGCAGTCGAGGCCGATGACCGGATCTGCACGCAGAGGAGCACGATGGAGGTATAATGAGGACCGGCCTCAAATTTCAGCTCCTGAACTTCCAGCGGGGGGCGGGCTGAGGTTTGGGGCTCAGCATTGGTGAACACGGAGCCCCGGTACGCGGACCCAAAAGCGGAATGTTTCAAACCAGCAGGACGAAGCGGCCCCTGCCGCCCCTCCCCGCAGCCGGGCACCAGGACCCGCCGGCGCCCCGCTGACCTCCATCCCCTTACCCAAGCACAGCCGGTGTACGAACCAGGACACTGCAGTCTGCGGCAGGACAGCCAGGAAGGAACGTGGCCACCTTGCACCCCCGTGCCAGGTAATAAACAGCCAATCAGAGAACGGAGGCCTCTTAGGGGCGTCTCTGTGGGGCACAGTCACCCCATCAGGAACACAAGAAGGCCAGGTGGACAGCTTGAGAAGGGGGTTCTCCCCGGCCCTCGGCGCTCCTGGCTCCACGCCCACCTGGGGCAAATGGGCTCACAGCCAACGTCAATTCTCGAGTCTCCCTGACCAGAGGCTCAGGAAGGGGCACGGCTGTGCTCTCTGTGAGCCACTCTACTTAGGTGGGTGAAATGGCCCTGGTCCCCGAGCAGCCCCTTTGATGCTCAAAAGCCAAGCCCGAGACAGGTCAGGATCGGGGGGCAGGGCACGCCGAAAAGGCCAGCTGTGCCCAGTGCACCTGCAGGCCTGGGGTCTCCTCCCTCTCACCTTTCTTTGCAGCTGTTTTTTAAACTGCTCAGCGTCCTTTCTCATCTTAGGTGTGCGAACCCCACCACGGGGCATCTCAGGCCTCTGCCCCGCTCAGCTGCGCCAAGTGCTAATTTCACTGGTGTGCTGGTGTCTCCTTCAAAGCGGCCAGAGCGCCAATGAAAGAAACATCAAAGCTCCCAGACACCCGTTCTCCCTGACAGCTCAAACGGGACGGGAATGAGCCTCCCTCCACTTGGCAAATCAACCGTGGAACGGAGCGCCCCCCCCCCCCGCCCCGGTCCTGAGTGCTGGCTTTGGGTCCAGCCGACCTGCACTTGGCCCGACATCTGGGGGAGCTCTGGCACTCCCTAAGGGCACCAGTCATGAGACCATCAGGAAGACCCAAGTGCTGCCTGTCTAGGTAGCCCAGAAACCAAATTTACACCTGACCAGTGAAGTCATCACAGAGCTTAAACCCAATAGGTGAGATCAGATGGGACCCACGAAAGCATTAATAATTGATTCCATGGGCCGTTTGGAGGTTTTCATTTTAATAACTTGGCAAGAGAATTTTTAAGCTGTGCCCCCTCAAAGAAATGCAGGCATTTTTCAATCAGCCACCACCCCAAGTTGTCAAAACCCCTCCCCACCCTGCCCAGCCCTCCCCTCAGACACAGGGAGGATGGAGTGGTTCGTAGCTGTCAAGCAGGGGAGCGGGGGGGGGGGAGAGGAGGCCCGATCACTCACCATTATCGTTGTCCTGTTGCAAGTGCTTGATCATGAACGGGATGGGGTCCTTGGGCTGGTGGATCAGGAGTTGCTCCAGCATGTTCTGTGGGCACAGGGCAGACACCCAGGTGGTTAACAGCTGCATGGGCATCCAGAGCCCCAGGCTCAGGCTTCGGCAGCCCAGAATCCTGGTTGCTACCAATACGGGTTATGGGGCCTGATTTCTCTTCCACATCCACCAAACCTGCCTTGAACTTGGGATCCCACCCCTGTTCCAGCTGCCATCTGCTTGGGTCCCCATGAGCAGAGGCATGACAGAAGGGCCGTAGGGTATTGCCAGGGAGACACCGGAAGGACTGCACCCCGGCCTCAGAACAGGCGGGCCCAGGGTACTCTCCCCTCTGTCCATCTGTGCTTCCCAGACTAGTCTTCTCTCAGTTCTCCTGATGTACCATGTTCATGTGCTCCTCAGAGCCTTAGCAAATGCTGTTCCCTCAGCTTAGAACACCTGTCCCCAAGTCCTCCAGTCTCCATGAAAACACACCTTCCTGATCACACTCACTAGATAAATCCTGTCACATGCTCCTGCAGCCCCCATGTGTCCCCATTATTGCCTCACCCTTGTCCTGGTGCTGGGCACACTCACAGTAGATGCCCAAAGCCGATGTCTGCCGGGGCGCATGGCCACCACTGCTACCCGTGTCCTTCTGGGGTGGGACAGAATATTTACCAGCCTGGGCTCTAAACAGTCCTGGGATCATCTGGCCATTTAATTCCAAGGAAAAGCACCTTCCATGGTTCCAGAACAAGAGGCACAGAAAGAACTGGGTAGGTAATAGGATCTGCGCTGGCACAGCAAGGAGCTTCCTTTAGGGACATAAGTCCTAGCTCCCCTCTGCACCTCACCAGCCAGTCCCTTCCCTTCCGCAAGCCTCGGCTTCCCCATCTGCTGGAAGGTCCAACTGGCCCAGGCCTCTAGTCGGCTCTCACTGTGGAGACAGGGTGAGATGATGCTAGATGGTTCACCGAGGAGTGTTTTTATTTCACTTTTAAACAGTTGTGTATTGAATGTGTATCAGGGAACCTCAGATATCAAGGATATTGCTTAGCAGGAAGTAAAACAGGTTAACTCTTTTTCAATGGGTTGATTTCAAAAAACGACTGAGTGAAAGTGGGATTGTGGTGGTGGTTATGTGAATCGATACACGCGGTAACACTTGCTAGAACGGTGCACACACAACAGGGAAGAAGGTTAGGTAAAAACAGAGGAGATGCAAATAAGGACTCCATCTGCTGAACCGTCTGGTACAACTGTGAGTGCCGAGGAGCGAGGCTCCATGGTCTTCGCAGGGGGCGCTGGGGAAGGGTACCTCAAAACTCTGTACTATCTTTCTAACATCCCGTGGGTCTGAAATTATTTGAAACTAAAAAGTGTAAAACCCACGGAGGGAACACACACAAATGACTAAGGACTGGACATCCTGGACCGAAAGCGCCTGCGGACTGCTCCATGCCACCAGCACTCTGAGACACAGCGAGACACAGCGCCCCTGGGGAGCTGCTCACCCTGCTCCCTGCCCGCCGTTTTCTTAGACGGGCTGCTCGGTTCAGAGAACTCGCTCTCCCTCCCTCTGCCAGTTAACACTGCCCAAAGGAAGCCTGTGGTTGCTGGAGACACGGTGATGGTCTGAGTCTGAGCTCTGCTCTCACATGTGCGGGTCAGAGGCTCAAACAAGCACGGGTGACCCCACTGGGGATGGGCTGTGTCTGGAGGAGCAAATGCTCTGGAAACTGGGCTCCCGCTTCCCTTTGGCCGTCACAACGTCGGAGGGACAGACCTTTCAGTGCAGCTCCCGAAAGCCTTTGCTGGGAGGCACAGAAGGGCCACCAGAAGAAGCGGGGCTTTGCCAAAGTGCACACAGGGCAGAGGGCCCAGTCGAGTCAGACGCCCAGCAGGAGAGGTTGGGAGCAGCCGAGCTCCTGGCCCTGATGAAGACGGGCCACGTGGGAAATGCTGCTGTCCCGGGAGGCAGCCGTCTTGGGGACGGCGATGTCACCTTGAACCCCGACACTCCGCAGCTCAGAAACCACCACTGCAGACAGGCTGGGACTGTCAGTGCGGGAGGGGCCCCCCGAAGACCAGCTCCTGCAACCTGGCATTGCACCGCTGCCCAGCGGAGAAGAGAACGGGACTTGGTCCAGGCCATTGAGCGGCCCGTCTGGAGCCGGGACCCAATCCTGGCCGGGTGGCCCGCCCCCTTCCCCGTCCTGGGTCCGCAGGTTAGGGGCAAGGGCGTCCTCCGACCGAGTCACCCCTCGGGGCCCGGCGGTACAGAAGTGGGACGCCCCTCAGCTGCGGGGTCGCCGCCGCGCACCCCGCTCTCGCGACAGAGGCTCCCGGCCGGCGCCCGGTGCCGCGACAGGACGGGGCTGCCTCGGTCACCTGCATCAGCTCGAAGACGTGGTACGTCTCCCCGTACTGGGGCATTTCCGGGGGTATGTGGTGCGGGGCGGTGGTCGCGTCCATGCCGCGGTGCCGCGGGCCGGTTCTCTGGAGACCGCGTCGCTAGGGCCGGCGCGCCTCCGCGTCATTAGTACGCGCCCGCTCCCTGGAGACGGCGTCGCTAGGGCCGCCGCGCTGCGTCATCAGCGCGCGGCCGCCGGCCCGCGAGGCTGGAGCCGGGCCTGGTCCCCCGCTCCTCCGCCCGCGCGCTCCGCCGCCGGGGGCCTGGTGCTTCCCCGGGGCAGGTGCTTCCCTGCACCGGCCTCGCTCCGCCGTCCGCACGTCTCAGCGGGACCCCTCAGGCCGCTCCAGCAGTGGCCTTCTAGGACCAGAGGTGCCTCGGGAGGGCCCCCAGGGCTGGGACGCCCAGGGTCAAGTCAACCCCCCCACACCCCAACCGAGGGGACGGGAGGCGGGTCCTGCGCCGGCTCCGCCATCGCACCCCGACCCGGGCGTTGGGAGCTCCGAGGGCCGCCTAGCTCTGCTCTCTGGGCCTCAGTTTCCCCATCTTTAAAATGAATAGAAGTTGGGGAACGGTTTGAAAAAGTAGGAGAGTCCCTGGGACGCGAAGGCCTTGGCTCACGGGGTGGGGCGGGTCTGCCACGTGACCCGATTGCTATGGCACCCACGGGAACAATCGGGCCCGCGGCCCCGCCCCTTCTCATCGACCTCCCCACCCCACCCATCCGCCTCCCCAGCCCCGGCAAGGGCCTCCCCGCCCCTCCGGGGCCCCAGACCCCCTCGGAGGCACTCCAGCTTCAGAACGCTCTGTAAGTGAAGGGCGCTCTAGGACCAGCAAGGTTAAAGCGGGCCGGGGGGCCGGGGGAAGGGAATGGAGGGGACCGGGGTGGGGTGGGACGTGGTGGAGGGAAGGAGCGCGGGCGGCGCACCAGTCCCTGTGGGTCAGGGCAGCCTGGCGTCAGACAGCACTGAACTGGGAGCTCTAGCTTTTGTCTGTTGCCATTTTTAGGAGGAGCTACTCCTGGTTTTGAGCTCTCAGTGTTCTTAGCAAAACTATGGGGCCTGTACATGACGGACAGACAGGACGTCTGACATTGTCAGTACAGATTGCCCCGAGTTCAAGTCCTGTCTCTTAGCCTGGTGAGCCCGCTCTGTGCCTCTTTCCCCCACTGTGAGGTGGGGCTTATAGGAAGGATTCCAGAGCTAACATACCCGAGGTATGGGTCACTGCTGTGTAGGAAGTGCACAAGGCATAGGGGCTACTGTTAGCCATATTACCTCGTTTGATCTTTGCACCTGCCCTGAGAAGTAGGTACTTTGATTCCATTTTACCGCTAAGAAATTGGAGGATCCGGGTGGTGAAAAGTAGTTGGCTGAGTGACTTCCAGTCATAAATGACTTAAGGCTTCAGTTCTTGACCGTGAAGCATTAAAATCAGAAGTCCCCTTGAAGATCTTTTGATCCAAACCCCCTGATTTTACAGCTGGATAAACGGAGGCCCAGAAAGGGGGAAATTCTTGGCTAAGTTCAGTTGTTAAGCAAAGGCAGAGCCAGGACTGGCATCTTGACTCCTAGCCAAAGCCGTTACCACCAGCCACTTGCCCGGAGACATGCCTTCCAATGGCAAAGACTGCCGTTCTTCCTCCTCCCCTCAGAGCTGCTTCCTCAAGGCGTGCACCTGGGTTGGCTCGTGAAAGCCAACTGCAGAGACAGCTAGGGAAGAAGAGGGAGCTGCCTCCCCCTGAACAAAGAACACAACAACCAAACCCTCAATTTGCACTGGAGAGGTTCAGTTTGCTTCCTGGACATTTCTGAAATGACTTGCCTTTCTCCTCATTTATTTTAAGCCTTAGGCGCTTTTCATACCACAATTTAATCTTCTTTAGCAGCCTGGAAAAATACAAATCAATTAAAGCCTAAAACCTATGGGGTAATCATTTTTTCCTTCCTCCTCCCGCAGATCGAGAAGTGCCTGCACTCTGTGCCTTTCATCCACACTGATTTGGCTTCAGTGATTCCCGTTCAAGGGACGATCACTTTGGATAGCCTGTTACAGCTCTTCTCACGACATTCCTGGCGTGCATGTCACAAGTCGCTAGGATCAAGAACCAAGTCAGTTTTGCTCTCAGGGGCTCTTGGGGCCACCAGCCAAGGTAGTGCTGTAGCCTTAGAGAACTTCACCGCCCCAGGAAGCCCCAGGAGGGTGGCAGGGAGTCAGACACATAGGGAAGCCCCCTAGGGGATGGGGAACAGAGAAAAGTCTCAACGGGAGTGGAAATAAGGCCCAGGGGTCCAGCCAGTATGTGGAACAGTAGGAGGGTTCAGGCAGCTTTTCAGGACTTTGGTATTCCCTCAAGCCAACCCACCTGCTCCCAGCCCTGGTCAGTCTGATAATCTGGCATGTCTGTCTCTGTGGACCATCACAGAGTGGGGAGGGAGCTATCCAAAAGCCCAGACTGTATAAAGTCAGGCAGAACTGAATGGGGAATCCTGGTTTGCTCACTTCTCCTAGCTGGGTAACCTCAGCTTTGTCATCTGTCACGTGTGAATAATCATGGTTCCTTCATAGGTGAGGACTTGATGCATGGCCAGGGTTGTCCAAGGGCCCCCTGGAGGGTAACTGCTGTTAGGTGGGTTGGGTGGGTGTTGAGGATTTCCCCGAGGGCTGGAGCATGGCGCTAGTCGCCCCGCCCCTCCTGCAAAGGACCCTCTTGCAGACCGTGAAGCCCTTCCTCCCAACACACCCGTCCCACTGCCCTGCTTCCTTTTCTCTTTAGCATCTAAAACAGGGTTTGTTTACTCATTACTTTCTGCCTCCCACTCTGAAAGATAAAATCCCTCCAGGGAAGGGGATCTTGTCTGGATGCTGTGTATACCCAGCACTCAAAATGGTGTCTGGCGTATGGGAGGCATTGCAGAACGAATGAACGGATGAATGAACGAATGAATGAACGAATGAACTTATGACATGCTTCTTACCCCTTTTGGCCTCCAGTGGTTTTCCTAGCTTTGTCTGGCACTCAGGGTCCCTCGGCCTTACCCTGTCTAGTGCCTTCTGTGCTTGCTCACAATATTGCCACATAACCCCCCTCCCAGCCTCTAGCCAGGGTCCCCGCCCCTCTGCCCACCCTCCCCGCCTCTCTCTCCTTTGAGGTTAAGCCCTCAGCAGCCTCTGCTGCTTTCAGGGTGCACAGCATGCCTGTCGTGGCGCGCTCCCGTGATTGTGTGCACACCGTGTAATCACAGCGCTTTGACCGCCCTGGCAACCAGACACTGCCGCATTCCGGGCCCTGGGCTCCACACCTGCCACCTGCCACGTCAAGGCTGGAGGCTGGCCCCGTCCTCTCCCGACAGCATGTTGGCACTCGGAGGCTCACCCCGAGGCTGGCAAGAAGTAGGGAAACCAGGATTTCAACCCTGGACTATGGGACTCCAGGGCTTGGGTTCTTAACCACCCACCACAGCCCCGAGTATTAATGCGGGAAGGCCGGGTTGAGAGCACGTGCTCCCCACCTCCTCCCCAGAGACCCACTGTGTGCTGGGTTCCGACTTTTCTAGGCCTTCAGCCTCACGGCACTGGTAAGCCCCAGGCCCAAACTAGGCAAACTGAGGCAAGTAAGGCAGTTGCCTTGGCACAGAACGTGAAGGGGGCCCCAAGCCCCTGTAATCGGGACGAATAACATTTTAAAAAATCAAAATAAATGGAAAAAATCCATCGAGAGTCAACTATTAAAAATTTAAAGACGGGATCAGTATTGCTTGTTCCCAGCACTGGGTCCCATCCCACGTTTACGTAAAATTCAGGTACTTTGTGGACTTTTTTGGTATTAACTTTTATTTCTTCAAATAGCGTGTGAAATATTTTTACCTGGCTCAATTGTTGGGCTCTGTGATACCCCCCAAAATTTCACACCGCATGCCTCACCGGCCTCACCCGCCCGGTAAGCCTGTGCCATGGGAGGCACAACCTAAAACCTTGCCGCATTTCACCACGCCCGCCCCCGCCGCCTCTGGGCAGGGGATAGGGGGACCTTGGCAGGGGTCCAGGTGTCTGACAAACAGCGGGCCCCCACCGCATCCCCACAACCCAGGCTCCCCTTCCCACTCACCCACAGTGGGCAAGGGACTGAGTGGGAGACACCGGCGCCCTTCCCGGCCCTGGCCCAGGTCCCCCACCCCCATAGAGCTGTGGTCGCTGGGAGCGAACAGGCATGGTGGCCCCCAGGGTGGGGGTGGGGGGCGGAGTTGTGCACAGCTCCTGAATGTTCTCAATCCACTGAGGTTCACAGGGGACCGTTATCAGGGCCCATCCTGGCGAAGCTCAGCTCCCAGCACCCCGCCAGCCCCCCCGGCCCAGTGTCTCTGATGTGCTGCCCCCTTTGTGTCCTGGAGGCCACCTTCTTGTCTGTTCTTGCATTTCCTTCCATCCCTCTTCTTGGCATGGAGATGCCCTCCCTGCTCCAGCCCTGCCATGGGCTCCGGATGCTGAGGGAGACACAGCAGAAAGAAATGGCCTCCTGTCTCCCTTGGGCTCGTTCCTCTCTACCTGGGGCCTGCCGGGAAGCCTGGAATGTCTCTGGCCCCACCCCGGCCCTTGCGGCGACTCACTTGGACCCTAGCTTGGCTCAGCTCTCTGAGCAGGGCACAGGAAGTGCAGGTGCCTCGTGGCGGAGGTGCGGCAGCTGGGGCAGCCTTGAGGACTCTGGTTCGGTGTCAGGAAGCCTGGGACCTAGGCTGTGTCTGACAAGCTCGCTGTGACACCTGGACTTCAGTTGCCCTGCCGGGAGCTAAGCGGGGGGTGTTCGCCGACTGGGTTCTCTTCCGGTTCTGGCGTCCTGGGACCTGGGACCTGGGCTTCTGGCATGGGCTCAGCAAAACCATGATGTCACAGAGAGCAGAAGCCACAGCCTTCTCTGTTCACAGAAGATTCTAGACACCTTGTGGACTACCTGAGCCACACCAGGGCCAGTCTGTGAGGCACCAAAAGAGAGCACGCCCCACGGCGTTCATGTTTCCCAACAGGCTCATTCCCGCAATGCACGTGGGAGGCAGGGAGGCGTTGCCGAGGGCCAGCCCCTGCCCTGAGAATGTGCCGGCCTGAGATCAGGGCTCCTGACCCAAGCACAGAGCAGGGAAACTGCATCTTCTCACACTCGACCCCCTCGTACAGGCTCTTCCTCTGCTTGGCCCGCTGGAAACAATCCCTAGACTTTCCCACCAATTGCAAAGAGGCAGATGTTTTAAAATGATCTGGTCCAAAGGGATAGTCACAGATTTAATTTTCTGTGACGTATTTTGTGATCCCCTCTATGGCTGACAGCACAGGAAGGCACTGGAGGCTGTGCGTGTGTGTGTGCATGTGTGTGTGCGCGCGCGTGTGTCTCTACGGTCGGCAGAAACCGGGGACCAGAGTAATCCTTGCCCACACTTGAGGGAAGAAAGTCACAGCTGATGGCAGAGAACATGTCCTGGGAGGGTACAGGGACGTGGGTCAGGCTCTGCTCGGTCTTGAACGGCCCGGAGGGTCTGCGGTGAGCACGGTGCTCCCGCGAGGGGGCCTAGGCAGGCTGGCCCGGGACTCCAGAGCTGGGTCTGCAGCCCGCGCCCCCCCGCAGATCCCCGTTCTCCCGTGAGTGACGGCGGAGGAAGACATGAACGAGGTGAAGGAGTCTCTTCGAAGCATCGAGCAGAAGTACAAGCTCTTCCGGCAGCAGCAGTTCACGTTCGCCGCCGCCCTGGAGCGCTGCAGGGAGAACGCCCACGACAAGATCCGGCCCATCTCCAGCATCGGACAGGTGGCGGCTCCGGGGCTGACGGGCCGTGGGGCCGGGCCCTCGGGGGCCTGCCAGGCGCAGATTTCCTGGGCAATCCCTTGCTTGAAAGACGAAACTGAGGCCCTGAGGGGGCAAGCCGCTTTGTGCCAGAGACGGGACTCGGAGCCTGACTCGTGGAATGAGCCAGGCGTCCCCTCCCCAGGCCTGTGAGGAGGGGTTACAAACTCGGGCTGGAGACGGGAGGCCGGGGTTCAGGTCCCGGCTCGGCACCACGTGCCCTCTGTGACCTCCAGCCCAGAGGCACCTGTCTGTGCCCGGTTGTCTGCTCTGCAGAGTGAGAACCTCTGGGGAGTTTGCGGATTTAGGGAGATCATGAGGGAGACTCTCAGCCAGTGTCTGATGCCTGTGGTCCTGGCTGTCGGACACCAGTGGGGTCTGAGAAGCTGCGAGGGGCCAAGCACATTGCTCCGCCCTCTAGCCCCCATCTGCAAACCTTTTCACTGTCCTCGTGGTGTCCTCGTGGGTTAGCTGCTATCCCAGTGTGCTCTGCAGAACTTGGAGGCCTCGAGGCCGAGCATACCTTCCAGCAAGTAGCGCACACCTGGGGACCGTCCCAACTGCAGACATGCTGCGGGCCCACGAGTCAGCTTGTGGAAGGCCAGCGGCTCACGGGGTGGGGCAGGTGCAGCCACTAGAGCTGCGACCTGCTTAGGAGAAGCGCACGGACCCACAGAGAGCAGGAGCCCTGCCAGTAGCATCCTTCAGAAACTTTCTTCTAATAGATGTAAAAGCCTCTCTCGATTTTTTAACTTGAACATTTTTTAAACCTACAGAAAATGGCCTCTTTCCCCTGAACTATTTGGAAGTCAAGTAGCTACATCCTTTTTGTAGCCCATTCCCCAAAGGCTCAGACTTCCAAGGCCACTGGACAGGTTTTCAGTGTCAGGAAGGAGCATCTGAGACCCTCACCCCCCCCCCCCGCCCCAGCCCCCAGTCTCTGCTGGACTCTGCATCAGCGCTCAGTGGCCCCAGCCCCTCATGGGCACAGGGAGTGGCCTTCTCGCCTTCAGTTCAGCAAAGGCTCTTGGTAAACAGTGGCCCCAGGCTTTGACTCTCCAGGGGAAGCGTGGACTCTCGGGCCTCACCCTGCCGTCCCCGGACCTGGGTTACCCAGAGGTGACTGACGCACACACACCAGGTAGCCCAGTGACTCTGTTGGAGTCACCCTGCGGGCCAGGCCCCCCTCGCCCTCCGCGGCAGATATGGAAGCTGCTAGAGCCTCTGCCCCCACACGGAGCTGCTGCACTTGGAACCACTCAGATCACTGGGGAAGACCTCCCCTGGCAACAGAAGGGCAACCAGCAGCAGCCAGAAAACCCTGGTTTAGACTTAGAATGTTCTGGCTGCTAGAGGAGGGAGGTAAAGCCCCCGGCCACCCGCTCGTCACAGGTAGGGCCTGTGTCTGGGAAATGGGCCAGTGAATCCTGCCTGGACGGGAACCAGTTCCTCCTTGGCCCAAGGCCAGGCCTCCTGGCTTGCCTGACCTCAGAACCAGAGCGATGGGGGCAGCGGAGCCCCAGGTTGCCTAGAGAGGAAGAGCTCCTGCCCGGGAAGGACCTCAGCTCCCCGCCAAGGAGTGGGTTGAAAGTGGGTCAGCCGTCTCCCCGTTCTGAACACCTTTAATGACCTGAGAAAGGCGTCCCAACTCCTGCGTCTGGAACACGGTCACGGGGAGCTTTCATTCTGTTTTGGCTTTTAAGTGCTTCCTCCTAGAGTTGATGTCGGGGTGTGTGGTGTGAGGTAAAGACGTTTTCTTCTACGGATGATCCCTCTCCCGGCTCCCCTGTCCCCCCCTTCCTCTGCCTTGGAAACACAGGACAATGACTCTTCAGAGGATTCTAGTGTCTTCTCCGTGCCCCGCAGTGGGTCCCGCGTGGGTCTGTGGCATCCAAGGTCAGGGAGCCGTGCTCTGTGCTTCAGGTGCTGGCGGGGCTCAGAGCCCGAGCCAGGGCAGGGGGTGCCGTCTGGCCACATTCACTGACGGCAGAGCAAGTTCTTCACCTCTGAGCCCCCGCCGGTCACGGGCAAACTGAGGGCTGCAGAAGGCGCCCGGTGCGTGGGGCTTCGGGGGGCGAGTTGCACACAGCGAGGCCCGGCCTGCACGGCGCCCGGGACCCTCCGTCAGTGTGACTGCAAGCAGTGGCTCTGCGTTCAGACGCTTCGGGGTGACCGGTCCCCGCGGCTCTGGGAGGGTGGGGGGGCCGGGGCGTGGCAGTGCCCCGAGCTCCCGTCGTGCGCGCCCTCGCAGGTGCAGAGCTACACGGAGCATTACTGCAACAACTCCACGGACCGGCGGATTCTGCTCATGTTCCTGGACATCTGCGCGGAGCTGAACAAGCTGTGTCAGCACTTCGAAGCCCTGCACTCCGGCACGCCGGTCACCAACAACCTGCTTGAGAAATGCAAATCCCTTGTTAGCCAGAGCAACGACCTGAGCAGCCTCAGAGCCAAGTAAGTCGCTTCTGGGCCTGTTCCGTGCGTGGGCGGAGGGGAGCGAGGCGGGCGGGGATGGGAGGGCCCCCGCAGGAGGGAGCAGGCTTCTGGGGAGAGGGCAGGTACGTCCCACGGACAGAGCCTATGGCGACGGTCTGGACCCGCTGCCCCAGTGGGAAACCCGGGCCCACAGGCTTACTGGAGGGGCCAACCCCACAGGCCGCTTTATTGCACACGAGGGCTGCTGAGGCCACAGGTAGAGCGGGACCCGAGCCCTCTCCCTGGAGCTGGCACTGGGCGAAGGGAAGGGGGTTGCAGGGCCCAAGTTTCCCAGGAGCCCACGGAGAAGCCCCAACTAGGGCCAGTGTGTGCAGCTCCCTGACTCTGAGCCCTGGCGGCCCTCAGCCCAGAGCGCCCTGCTCTGGAGCACACTGTTGAGTTATCGGGCTGGAGAGGAGGCAGCGGGACCAACCAGCACGTTTTGGAGCAGTTACAGGTTTCCAGCGTCCCTGGCTGACAGTGGTTCGAGGGTCCTGCCCCTCGCAGCCGGATCAGCCGGGGCTCCTGGGCCACGAGCCCACCAAACCACACAGTTCGGTAAAGAGTGCGGCCAGGCCTGCGCGGCTCAAAGCCTCCCCTGGGGACTGTGAGGGGCGTCCAGGACCAGAGCCTGCCCCGGTCTGCACAGAGCCCCTCCTGCCGCCCCGCAGGTACCCGCACGATGTGGTGAACCACCTGAGCTGCGACGAGGCCAGGAACCACTACGGAGGCGTCGTCAGCCTCATCCCCATCGTCCTGGACTTAATGAAAGAGTGGGTCGCCCACTCGGAGAAGCTGCCCCGCAAAGCCCTACAGCACGTGAGTGAGCCCCGGGCACACCAGGAAGCCGCTGGCACGGCCGCTCGTCCTCCCTGGACCGCAGGCTCCCAGCCTCGGTTAAGAAAGCACAAATGTAGGCGACTTATAAAAGACAGCCCCAGGCCTAGGGGGAAGGACAGAGGATGTTCCAAACCTCCCTGGAGACCACCCGGCAGGAGACTCTAACTCAGAGTCGGCAACCTGGCGCGGCCCATAGGGCGCTTGGTCACTTAACTCCATCTCCACCGGCGGATCCATCCTTCGGCCCCCGCAGTCCCCCCCCCCCACAGAGGAACCCCAGAGAGCTTGCCCAATATACTGTCGAGAACCTCTCTCCCTCTCTCTCTCTCTGCTAAGCTCTCCCCGCCTCTGAGTGTCGGGCTCTGTGCCAGCGACAAGGACCCCACGTCCAGTGTTGTTGCGAGAGGGTGTCCCGGGGAGGCTGCTGAGAGCTGGGGCCAGCGGCCTGCCCGGGTGCTCTGGGGGCTTCCAGCCCGCACCCGGCCAGGCCTGGCCACGCTGCAGGTCCGGCTTTCGGGCTGAGCCCTTGAGCTGGAGGCCTGCCGGCGCCTTTCCCGCCGCTGTGGCAACTGCAGGCGAGGTCTGGCTGCTTGGCCTGCGGGGGCGCTGAGGGCCAGCACGGTGGCCTTCCCCGGTGTGATTAGGTCTCCGGACCAAAACCCAAAGGCGAATGAACCTGGCTTTGCTCTCCTTTACTTGGGAGAGGGAGACCATGAGAGAAGCTGGAAGAATTCTGATTTCGTGGCTCCTGTGCAAGGACCGTGTCCTGCTGTCCACAACACAGTCCCGGCCCCGACGTCCTAAAATGTGTGTCTGGCTTCTGAGCTGGAAGTGCCGGCTGACTGTCGGCTTTTCCCTCCGCAGGGGGCGACCTAGCTTCTGTGTTCTTGCTTCCTCGGGGCGACCGACAAGAATAAAAAGTGTTCTCCCACCTTTCTGCCTGGCTCGGGTTCCTGGGAATTATTCCTCACAGAGAATAACATTCACCCTCAGACCTCAGAGGACACTGGCCGGTGGTCTCACAAGCAGCGGAAGCGCGGGCCAGGAGCACCCACTGCAGACTCTTGCTCTCGGGGGCTCATGCCGAGGCCCACAGGCTGGCTCCTGACTGGCCTTCCGTAGCTAGAAGCTGTTCAGACAAGATCTGAACAGACACCTGAGCTTTCCAGATGGAATAAACACCGCCGTCTCTGAGTCTTTCTCTCCAAGAGCTGCTTCTGCCATGAACACGGGCAGAGCACACCGGCTTCCGGGGCAGCTGCAAGTGGCTGCTCCAAGGAAGAGATGGAGAGGCAAGGCTGGTCGAACCATTGTCTGAGGTGGTTCCCTGCCTCCCTCCAAACCCCTGACAGCGTAAGGGAAGGAAGGCGGTGGGTGCCGCCTGCGCTTTCCCTGGCACGCTCACGGCATGTGACCGGTAAGCTCTCAAGGACTTCTAGGTCACCTGGGCACCCGAAAGGCCGTTTTTGTTTTTTGGTTTTTTTTAAGATTTTATTTGTTTGACAGACAGAGATCACAAGCAGGCAGAGAGACAGGCAGACAGAGAAGAGAGAAAGTAGGCTCCCTGCCAAGCAGAGAGCCCGATGCGGGGCTCGATCCCAGGACCCTGAGATTATGACCTGAGCTGAAGGCAGAGGCTTTAACCCACTGAGCCACCCAGGTGCCCCTTGAAAGGCCTGTATTAAAGCCAACGGCCCGCCAACCCAGAGGGAGGCGAGTGCACTCCAAGCACGAGGCGGGACAGCAGCACGGGCCCCGCAGGCCACCCGGCTTGGAGAGCCTGGGTGGGGATGACCCAGGTCACCCCCCCATGCCACCAGGCCCATCAGTGGGGGAAGGTGGGAACTGGAGGCAGAGACAGGATCTGTGGCTGTGGGTCAGAGAACTGGCTGGAACAAAAAGGGTCTCAGAGAGACAAAAGGCAGATTCCACTTGCCAGCATCTCCTCCAGCCACCTGCGGTGACCAAGCCAGGCTGGAGCCTTCTGCATCTGTGGGCGGGTCCCTGCTTGGCCTAGGAGCCCCTCGGAGGCCAGCGTGAGTCACGTCATGTTAACACAGCAGAGTAGTGCAAAACAATAGATTTTTATTTGTTCACAGTTAAACAGAAGCAACTGCCTTGACATTTTAGAACATCCTAAGAAGGACAGCAGACCCTTCGATTCCATTTCCCGTTCACTAAGATTGTACCATTTTCTCTCGCAGTTCTTGTTTACGGCATCTGACGTGCATTGTTTGACATGCTTTTAAGATCAAGGCGGGAAGGTTTAAACCTTTGGACAAGAGAGGACTTTCTCAAATTTAACTAAAAGCAGTCAGTTAAAAAACCCTTTTTTTTCACTGATGGGACCCTTTACACCGCACGTTAGCCACAGCGGCTGACCCATGATTGAATTACGAAACTAGATTACGTCTTAACAACATCTGTTCCTCCGTTACAGACTTATTATGGTCCACAGAAGTCTTCCAAAAAGTGATCACTGATTCTTCCTCGTGCAAAACGCCCGGCCACCTCTTTGACCAGCCGGAGTGTCTGCGGGTAGCCTCCTGTCTGAACACTGTAGCGAGTGGGGGAAGGGAGGAGGGGTTGATCTGGGGGTTCTCAAACTCACAGGGGTCTCCTCTACAACATCCGATGATTCAACTAACCTACTTTTCCCAGATGGACGATTTGGTGGTGGAGAGAAAGGGGGCAGAGGGCTCCTCTGTAGTCGCAGACACGGGCACTCCCTACCCCAGGCAGGCTTCCCTCATCGCTACGGCCCCTCTTCTCTCAGGTGAGCGCATACAGACTGGAGGACGGCGAGGCAAAGATGGGAACCCACTCTCCCCGCGAACGTCAGAGCGGCACTGATGGGGACATGAGCCACATGGGGACAAGGGTCACAGCAGCAGCCTCGAAGCCAGGCCCCGACCTACACGTGCTCTTTCACCTACCCAGACAAGCGTCCTCGAGCGCGACCGATAGCTGAGGGGGGTGCGCACATTACAGAAGTCTAGGCAGAGACCGACACAGACGTGCTAGGGCTGGAGACGTGGGTCAGTTCCTAGCAGGCACCCGGGCAGTGGAAAGGAGCAGAGGGAGCTGTGCTGGCGGGGGTCATTCCACGAGACACCCTCGTCCCTGCAGATGTGGGTGGCATCAGGCCTGTCCCGGGGCCACTCTGAGAGGGGCTGGCCTCTCCGAGAACATCCCCGGGCTGGGTGGCCCTCCACCCCAACCGCGGCTCCAGACCCTGCTCAACCCACGTGGCTTCCTCCCCCCACCGCCACCTGCACGTGGCACTTCCTCTCTCTCATTCTTCCATTCCTTCTGGCTTCAAGTAGCATGTTCTAGTATTTGGTACAAACTCCACCGGCTAATCACAGCACATGCTATATTCTCTACAGAGAAACACCGTTTTCATTTGGAACTGGGAGTCTGAACCCCCAGGGCCCAGCTCACAGGGATCCCCTCATCGCAGCCACCGTATCAGCCATCCCCTTCTACACAACCACGAGACTTTGGCCTCTTGTGACAAAACCACTGGAAACGGGGACAGCCCAGGGTGTGGAGTTTCCTTTCCTGTTCTCCTGATTTGGCCCCATGATGTGCCGGCCTCTTGGACCACAGTGGCACGGTGGCTCCCAGGTTCCCTGCTCAGAAGAGCTGGCCCCTTTCCGCCCCACATGGCATACGCGTTCTGGTTCACACAGCAGCTGCCCCCACGGAGCCTGCTAAGAGCCCCAAGCAGCTGGGACACGCTGCTGACCACGCTAGGGAGGCCACGGCCGGCCTAGCATTCAGCTGCACAGAAGCCTTTAAAACCTCCTACCCAAGAAATGACCTGTCTCCTACCTTTGGATTTTTCTTTCTTATGACCAGATCTTTCTTCCAATGCTATACTAACAATTTCTGTAGATTTTAGGGCAGAACCCTGTCAAAAGCTTTTTAAAAATCCCTCCAAGTCCTGTCAGAGAGGTCCGTGTGCTTCCGTCCTACAGTGGACTTGGGAATGCACTTTCCCTATGGAGAGCCCGCAGCCGCTCCCTCCACCCCTGCCTGCCTGCCGTCCCCCACCCCAGCCCCACCCCCAGGATACTGCGGTGCTACTTGTGAAAACGAATCTCATGCTGTCCGAGAAGCAGACTCCAACCCCAGGGCCTGCGCTGGCCTTAGTTCGTGTCAGGTGGGGATCAGAGCAGGTCACACACACTGGCCACGTGGCTCTGCGGCAGGCGAGTCCGCCCCAAGTGGCAGGGCGGAGGCAGCCCAAGCCTGACCTGCGTCAACACCGGCTGCTGCTCCACCGTCTGGAGACCGGCTCTGCCCCCGATGCTAACTGTTCTACTTCATCTGCCCTGGCAGCTCCCAGACCCGGCTTCCCTCCCTCGTGTCCCTCTGCCCTCACTTTTCCATCCTTAAAAAGACTCGCTGCGGCGCAGTCAAGTGACCTGTTGAATCCTGGCAGGTTTATTGTTTTTAAAACCAAACTAAACCTTACTACGGACTTGAGTCCCTTGTGGCATAAAACCCTAAGTGTTTAGGCTGCGTACCTCAACACCCCCGGGCCTCAATCCCCCAGCCGCGGCCAAATAAAAAGCCGGGACCCTAGAACCCAAAGGAAGCCTAGCACAGCCCCCTTGGGTCAGCCACGGTCACTGAGCTGAGCAGCCACCAGGGCCCGAGGGATGCGCCAAGGGCCCTGGGCCCAGACGCCTGTCCGCGGAGCCTCCTGCGCAGGCCGCGGCCCTTGCCGCAACACTGCCTCCTCCCTCCCTGTAGTTGTACGATCTGCCCGGTTCTTAAAAATGCTTTTTTTTTTTCTTTACATCAGCCTCTGCCTTTGCCAGTTAATCAGGGAAAAGGCTTTGATTTAAATGCCTGGTGTCTTTGTTCTGGGCACGGGTCCCCCGGGTTGGGGGAGGGGAGGCATTCTGACCTGGTTTCAGTAGGAATCCAGTTAACATTTTTTTTCCTTTCCGAATTTGTTCGTGTTTTGCTTTTCTAAAACTGAACTAGTGAATAGGACAGGCTCAATTTCAAGCTTTCCTTTGGACAAAACTGAATTCCCCACGTGTGGTTATTGCTAGTCCACACGGGACGTGCAGCGGCCGCTGGCAGGGCAGGCCGGGCAGGGCCGGGCAGCTGGGCGCACCGGGAGATCCTGTCCTGATGAGGTCTCGCGCTAGCGCAGTTGTGGCGACACAGTGTCTCTCGTGACCTAGACCCCTCGGGTTAGGAGTGCTAGAATATCCACTACAACCCTAGAAAGAAGAGACCTTTCCCCTCACGTGCTGGAAGCGTCTGTAAGCAGTAAGATTTCGTACCATTACAGTCCATCCTTCCCCCACCCACAGCTGAACCCTCATATACTTTTAACTAAAAGAATAAAAAGAAAAAAAAACAAGTTCATCGGCTCTTTCCTACCAGTCTCCCCTGGCCTCAGCTGGGACACTAAGCAACAACTCTTCGGCTTCTAGCTTCTACCTCCGGAGCCAGTGTTCAGAGGCTGCGCTGGGGTCCCCTCCCCTGAGCATGTGCGGGCAGCCTGGGGTGCATGTCAGACCGCCTTTGTCAACGCTCACCGGGACTCTGCCCTGGAAGGCTCGGCCACTACCAACGTGCGGGAGGAGAGCATCACCAAGCTCCCCATGGGGTTGGCCCCGGAACGTTCGGCTGGCGTGAGAAAGCTGTTACCTTTTTGGTGGTCTAGAACCAGCAACAGCAAGGCGGCCCCAGCAGCCTGAGAAGCAACGGTCATTTAAACGCTGAAGAAACTCTTTGGACCTTCAGAGCCTTTCTGCGGCAGCATCGCCAAGAAGCTGACATAAACGAGAGGCTCCCGGGAACACGAAAGGAGACAGGCAGGCAGACCGGGGTGGGGAGTTGAACCCCGAGGCTCAGTTAGCACAGCCCTGCCCGAGGGACAGTTCCTCGTCCACAAGGGCTTCTCGTGCGACTGCTCAGCCCCCACCCTCCCCTCCTGCAGGGAGCGGGTTTCACCATCCCCATGCCAGCCTGGTCAGAGCGGTCCCAGCTTTCCAGCAAACACCAAATAAATAAGAGGTAGCGGGGAAGGAGGGACAGAGCATTCCCAAAGGGGAAGGGCGGTCTCCATGGCGCCAGCTCCAGATGCTTCTTACCAACACACGGTTTACACAGAAATTTCTAGAAAGCTTAGCAGAACCGCCGAAGAACGGATGGGCAAATAAGCCACTGTTTCCCTAGAGCTGCTGCTTCCGGGGCTGTGCTTCAGAACCAAAAAGCAGTGACAAGGTCTCACGTGAAGTCAACCAGCTTCACAAGCTACCCCCCGCGGAAAGGGACGGAACCAGACTTACCTGCGACACCACAGTTACCTGGGCTAACGGAGAGCCGACCCGTTCTCCGAGTGTCAGGAAAGGAGAGAGTGTGTGTTAGACTCAAAGATTCAATCTGGCCTCATATTGCACAGGTTCAAAGGGTGCGACCATTGCGGGGAAAGGAAGAAAATAAAGCTACTGAGGAGCTGGCCCTCGGATTAGCCCACACTGGCGGGTGAACAAGACAGGCTGGGGAGCGGGCTGAGGGGGGACTTAAGAGGCATTTCAATGCCAGATCCAAAAACCGTTCTGCGTTCAGTCAACTGTCAAAAGGACCTCCATCCCGTTGCCACCGCGTGAGCTAGCCACCCAGACCCCGGAAACAGGAAAGCCTGGGCACGTGCATTCACACCTCCTGTTCTAAGCCAGCAACCTGCAAGTTAACACTGATTGACCGTCATCCTTCACTGTGCTCATGATGAGTCTCGTTGTAGTCCATGATGTGCAGCTGTCCAACACTGTCCGGGTTTGGGGGGGAAGGGTGCAGGCCGTCGAGGTTCAGGGGGGTCTTGGCTTCCGCACCCGGGTCTCTGCCCAGTTCTGTCTTTAGCGTCTCAGAAAGGCTACTGATGGTCACGCCGTCTTCATCACACTGGCTCTCACTCTTATTACGAAATAACTCTCGTGCCTTCATGCCTAGGAAGCTTTTTGAGCTGGGAAGGGAGCCGACGGTCGTGGGGATGCTGGTGGCGGACCCTCCCATGGCAGTTTCCCACCGACTGCTGAACAGGCCTGCCCTCTGGCTAGGGGGTTTCTCCGGGGTCGAGAGCTCACTGCCGCCGCCGCCGCCGCTGCCACCTCCAGCCCCTCTACTTGCGCTGCCACCCCCGGGTCGAGGGGGCTTGGTCTCGCCGTTGTAGCCAGATGACTCTTCGTTGTGCCCTGTTACAGAATCCGGGCAGCCGTCCTTGCAACAGGCAAGCCTGTAAGAAATCCAGGGAGGAGAAGAGGGGCGGTGTGGGCGGCGCCGGTGGGGATGGGAGGTGTGCGACTACGCCGGCTCATGCAGACACCGAACTCTATGCTTTCGAGCAGGAAAACCCGAGCGTGAGGCCTCGGCAAGAGACACCGATTCTCAATGTGGGACAGGACGTGGAGATCACACGTGTGAGCACTTCCTGTGACCACATCCTGCGATTCACGGCCAAGGACAGGGAACCAGAGAGGCCACCTGGGACAGTTTCTCACGCCCTGTTCTGCTGCTGGTGGCTCGGGGACAAGGTCACTGCTCCCGCCTCTTTGCTCCTACCTTTCTTCTGCCGCTTCAGCTGCTTCTGCCTTTTCTTCTTCAAGTTTCTTCAGGAGGCCGTCCTTCTCCAATCTGCCGTATAAATCTAAGATCTCCAATTCAAACACTTGGGTGATCCTTTTCTGAGCCTCATACCTGCTCTCTGCCGCCTGCAGCTGTCCTCTGAAACACAGACCACCCCAGGACATAAGAAGCCCCGCTGACAAAAGAAACCATCACTGCAGAAACCCGTGCCCACCGAAGTTACCTTGCCTGGACTTTGACATCTTCTAAATATTTCTTCTGCTCCAAGAGAAGGTGGTCTTTCTTGGCCAGGTGAGATTCCAGTTCCAAAATCCGTTTCTGGGAGGTATCAAGCCTCTGATTCTGCTGGAGAACGTGGCTTCTGTTTTTTTCTAGTTCTTTCCGACACGCAGCTTTCATCATCTCCACCTCCTACAAGAGGGGCTGGAGTTAGTCCCCGAAGAAACAAGCGTGCTACCTCCGTTGTGCGAAAGCAAGGCTCTGCACACGAAGAAGGCGCTTTGGGGCACTGCTGCTGGAAATCTGAGGTGCTACAACTTGCTGCAAAGAAGCTGGCAAGAAGTATTAATCTAGTAGCCCTTCCTTGAAATCCGCCCCTGAGGAAATCATCTGAAACATGACTAGGCATTTTGCACAAAAATGTATCACCGTATCACGTGGTAAGGGCAAAAAACCGGAAGCGCTGTTAAGTCCAACGCCAGGAGAAGAGTGACTTAAAATACATTTTATATCTCTAAGTTTTTAATAAACTTACAGTTTATGTATCAGTAAGAAAAAGATTTCAAAAATAGACTTTATAAAAAACACGTGAACGGGAGGATCAACTACGTCAATGTGACATTCACAGATGCCAGATGAAGGTACCCCGATATCCGCTTCTTTCAACGTAGTGGGGTCGCAGCTGATTTGTCGTCTGTCAGGCTCTTCTCCCCACACACCGACTGAGGGAAAGGCAGCGGGCGCGGCGCAGTGGGACTGGCTCGCTCGGGCACCCCGAAGGCCTGCAGATCACGCCAGGCAGATGGCTGCCTGCCGACAGACCAAGCCAGCTGAACCCAGAGCAACTCAACTAACTAAATAAAATCTTTAAAAAAAAAAAAAAAAAAAGGATAGAAAACAAGGAGCAAGGATATGGAACTTCCATGGGGGTGTCCCTGCCTCGAAGACAACCAGTGACTGCTTTCCTGGAGTGGAACTCCACAGACTGAAACTCGGGACTGGGCACCGATCATGGGATCATGGCCGTTCTAGCCGTGCCCGAGGGCTCCAGACTTCAGCACAGGTGAGGCGAACCAGCCTCTGTCATCAGTGACAGTAGTTCTTTATGGAGAACCAAGCCGACCACCGGACTAGGAACATCCATGCGCCTCCACGAACCCTCACAACCACCGCAGGACGTCCTACCCCACACCTACCCGCCATGCCCAAGCGGATTCTCCGGTACCGCCCTGCCTCCCCACTTGACTGAACAAGAGGAAGCCTGACTCCAGGTCCAAGGGCAAATTCTGACAGGTCCAAGGCAATGATTGAGCTAGGGATAGACACAAGACACAATCCTGGCCAACAGCAAGGGTGGGAAGTCTGGTGGAGGGTTCCTGGCAAAGTTTCCTCACTGAGAGACCCGCAGGAAGCGACCTCTCCTCTTCTGGGGGAGATCGTGGTGTCTGTCTACCCGTGACTGCCATTCCTGTGGCTCACACCTTGCAACCATCGGCACAGCTAGCCAGAGGACAAGGTTGCTAAGACAGGCCAAGTGGTGCAGGAGAGTGGAAAAAACGGGACGCTTTTTTTTTTTTAAGTAATCTCTATGCCCCACATGGGGCTCAAACTCACAACCCCAAGATCAAGAGTCACACGCTCCTGTCCATCTGTCCATACTCTTGATCTCAAGGTTGTGAGCTCAAGCCCCACGTGGGGTACAGACACCACTTAAACAAATTAAAAAACTAAAAAAAGACAAAACCTTAAAAATTTTTTTTTTTAATTCTAAAAAGACAGGGGCATGCTCTACGGATCGAGCCAGTCAGGCACTCAGAACCGGGCTCTTGGATACTGTCCCTAAACTGACTGGGCCAGCCCGGAACCCACCGGCTTTCGGACTTCTTGCCAAGTGAAGTAACGAACTTCTTTTTGTTAAGGTGGGTTAGTGGCGTCTTTGTTCCTGCTTATCACCGTAGACACCCCAGCTGCTGGAAGTCAGGGTCATCACATCCACGTAGGGACTGTGAAACAGGGTCCAGAGAGATCAGGTGGCTGTGGGAGGTCCCAGGAGTCCAAGTGCTCCAGCCGAAGGCAACAGGCCAGAGGCCAGCCCAACTGACTTCTCTTGGCAGGTGTCAGGAACGCATTTCGGTCAGCATTTTCAGAGGGTCTACTGTCTCTTAGGTCTCTTTTCCCCTCGTTCTTTTCCAAGCCCATTATACCTCCAAAATGACGGCTAGCTGGTTTCTAGAAAGTTCCACATTTAACATCCTTCTAAAGGGAGTCTGAATCTGAGAGCTGAGAAGAGCTGCGAAATAAGGAGTAACTCTAGTATGAAAATTACATCTCTCTGCTTCTAAGACTACTTTCTACATTTGGCCAAAAAAGCTTTACAAAGCACAAACCCAAGAAATCCTAAAAAGTAAGCCTGTGTGTGATGGAGAAGTTAGTGACAGGAGGCATCTGAGCATTTACTATTAGAATTCCAACCCAACTCATTCCCAGCTCATTCACTAACATTACCCGAGGCTATTTATAAAGTGACATAAAACTTCTGCCTCAACACCATTGGTGAGACACTAATTAGTGTAAGATCATGCCAATACTGGCCTTGTTGCCAGGACTGAACCGCCATCTGCTGAAATTAAATTCAACATTAAAAGGAAGAAAAAATATGTATACCAGTATATACCCACAGTCCCGAGCGTTATGTTCAACAGAACTGGCTTCCTATCCTTTTTTTTGTTTCTTTCTCTCTCTCTTTCTCCCTCTCTCAAAGCGGGCACTGGTGAGAGAAGACAAACCCTTTATCAGCTACTCTGTACCAATTACCATGCGGCACTTTCACTTACCCTGACTTCATTGCAAAGCCAGCCAACTGGGGGAAACAAGCTCGCACGACGGCAGAGGAGGGCTCGTCCGCAGAGCCGCGACCATGCCGTGTGGCCGCAGACCTGCTGCCTGGGTCCTATGGGCTCCCCGCCCCCCAGGCGTGGCTCCCCGAGCCCCCACATACCTTTGTGGTGTCTGAGTGCTTGCTCTGCAGTTGTTCCAGATACAACTCGTTGACCTCCCCAAGGACCAAGAGCTGGCGGTTCAAGAACTCCATCTGCTGCTGGACCGACTCACTGTTCGAGAGCTAACCAAAACAGGGCGGGCAACGTGAGCGCCCCCGTAACCCACATCTGGCCGGTGGGCGTACACAGGGGCCGGCTTGCAACTCCGGTGTTAGTGCTAGGGAACAATGAACTCCCACGGTTTCAAATCCCCTAACACAACGGCTAGCAGGGAGGAAGGCGTCCCACGGCAACTTCAAAACGGCGCTGAGCAAAGGGGAAGCAGTGGAGAGCCGCTACCTCAAAGGGGCCACCCACAGGATGCCTGCGGAGGATGGGCGAGTGTGACCTTCACTGCAGGGAAAAGAGCCCAGGGTTAAAGCCCAGGAAGACGCACTTGCTCGTACATAAACTGTACAGAGTGTGGTGAATCCCAAAATGGGAGGGACCCTAGCTCAGGAGCATTTTGTGAGCAAACTCCCCACGTTTATGTACACGAGGATCTAAGAGAGGGTTCCCAGGGGCACAAACAGGCCCGGGGACAGGCCAGGTGCTTCTCCACTGCGGAACCTGTCCTGTGCATCGTGGGGCGGGTCGCAGCACCCAGGTCCCTGCCCACGTGATGCCAGTAGCACCAAAAGTGCCTCCACACATTGCCCCTTGCCCCCAGGGCGCGGGGGTGGGGGAGGGAAGGCTGCTTCGCTCCCGGGCGGGAACCCCAGCTGGAGGTACGCAGATAACGGCCTCACCCCGTCTGGAGGAAGAACGTCAGTTAGAGGCGTGAGAGGAGACGCAGCCTGCCCCGCGGCTTACCTTCTGGGACACCTGACTGAGCAGCAGCTCGGTGTGACACACCTTGCTGTTGGCCTTCTTCAGTTCCAGACGCAGCTCCGCGATCATGTTCCTGCAGTCCTCCAGCTTCGTCTGCCCGGAGAGACGCGCCAGCAAGTCACCCACCGCCTCCGGCCAGGGCACCACCCCACCCGGCCGTCGGCCCGCAGACAAGTGGGGGAGCCCAGCTTCGCAGCTGCTCCACTATTCTTGGGTCACTAGGATTTAGTTTCTTAGTTTTAAAAATCAAGTTATGGCTGATTTCTGAGTTCCTGATTCGTTTAGCAGAAGAACAAGAAGCTCTTAGATCCACAGTCCCCAAACCAAGCCAACCCACAGGGCTGGGGCAGAGGTGTGAAGTGTCTGAGGGAAACACAGCGACATCTGCCGCTCGTTGTGTGAACTGCATGCTGGAGGCAGAAGAGCGGGGTAGCACACGTGCTAGCGAGGGCAGGGGATGTGGGCACGTCTGCGAATCAGGGATCTGGGGTTTGCGGGAATACAAAGCACCGTGTGAATACCGGCGTGAAATGGGAAAAGAGGGCGTCGGTGGCCAGTGTGACTCCAAGGTCTGAGCCTCTGCGGTGCCCAACAGGGACACACACACAGCACTGGTGAGTCATGGTGGTCGTTTAAAAACAAAATCTACAACAACGTAAACTTGGGTCTACTGTCCTCAAATAGCTGCTGGGTTGTCGGGGCGTAAGGACGAAGTTGTTCAGATGTGCTTAAAAGCACAACAGTCAAGGGTTTCTTTTTGCCTTGGAATGCCAGGGAAGTGACCAAAATGCCACAGGGGCTGCGTACGACCTGAGCTGGCGGGGGAACCTCGGCCCAAGATGCCGTCTATGCGCCGCCGCATCAGAGAGAAAAGCCCTTCCTGTCCATTGGGCTGAGCGAGGCGCCTCCGTGCCCGGTCCCAGCCGCCCGGGCCTGGGGCCGCCGCCTGTACCTGCAGCTCCTGGCTCTGGTTGTAGAACTCCTCGCGGTCATGCTGCAGCTGTCGGATCTGGCTGTGCAGCTGGGCCACCATCGTGTCTCGCTGCTCCTGCAGCTGGCTGCACCGGGCCTGCTCCTTCTGCACGCTGACCTTCCAGATCTGGATGTCCTTCTCTTGCAACTTCAACTGGTCTTTCTAGCGGAGAGCAAAGACGTGATCATTTTAGCTGCCTCCCGACAGGGGCGGTGAGGCGCCCGTGCCACCAGTGCCGACGGCCACACGCCGCCCTGAAGCTTTAACCACAGGCACCGCAGCACCAGCTCGCGACTATCCAGCCAGACTTGCAGGCCAGGGCCACCAAGCTGCCAGCGGCACAGGGATCGGGAGCCGCTGGAAGAACCTGTCTCAGGCGCCAGCTACTCCCAACATCTTCCAAAGTCCTAACCGCCAGCGCTGGCCCAAGACCTCTAATAAAACACCAAGCAGCCAGGTCCCTAACACCGGCTGCCACACCGGCGGTGAGCACGGAGTCCCGGGACCTCCTCAGGCAGCACGGCTGCAAAGTGGCTGCTGCGGTTCGCCGCCCCATTTCGCGGAACGGGTAACAGAGGCTGCGGAGGCTGAGCGACTTCCCTGAGGGGAGGAGCGGCAGAGCCCCTCGGTCCGACTGGCTCCCCCCGGTGCTGTAAGATTTTTGTCACAAAACAGCTTCAGGAGAGCTGGTTTCACATTTGGAGGAAGAAAATCGCGCCTCTGACTCTGTGACTGTCGCAGGCGATCACAAGTACACACGGAAGCCACCTGTCCCACCAGGGCCATTCGGTCACCCCTCAGAGACCGAGCGACCACCCTGAGCCATGGCGGCGCGCGGAGCCGGGGCTGGACACCTGGGGCCTGAGCCGGCAGCCGCTCCTTCCAGAAGATGGCGCCCACACGAACCCCAGAGCCCGAGGCGCGCCCTGCCCGTGGGCCCGGGGGGCTCACCATGGCCGCGTTGTGCTCCTCCAGGGCCGCCGCCTTGACCGCCTTGCGGAGGAGCCGCCTGTTCCGGAGTGCGTGCTGCTGCCTCTTGAAACGTTCATACAGTAACTGGTTGTGCAGTAAGAGCAGCTGGTTACGGAGGGTGCGGATCTCATCTGAGGGAGGAGAGCCTGATTTTAAAGCAGAGGGAGGGTGGCAGAGAGGCCTTTTACAGACGGTTCCATCAAGAGCCCGCCCCGGTCACCCAGCTTCCAAAACACGCTTCTCGCAGCTACAAGTCCCCCGCTCCCTCGGCAAAGGCCGCCTGTGTCTCAGCGACGGTCGCGCGTCAGGAGAGGGGAGGAGGCCTGACTACCGGCTGCCCTCTGAAGAAGCACAAAATGCTAGAAGGTGGGAGGACTCCTGAGAGCTTCCGGACTCCTCCCCGCAGACCCAAACCATACGTACGGCTCTTCGAGGCGCCCTCCTTCCCCCCATGCTGGGTCCTCCACCAGGCCCAGCTCCTGACCTCACTGGGCTCTTCCTATGAAAGCCGAGCTCGAGGTCGGCGCTTTCTGCAATTCCAGCCTCGAGCACCTGCTACGTGCCACTTTCCAGAAGTAGAAAATGCTAGCTTTGCAACGTCTGAGGTATTAGGGGCCAAGGAGATACGCTGGCTGGAGCAGCAGCCAAGGGGGACCTGTTCCTACAGGGCACGCCTCCTCCGAGGACAGAAAAGGCGACAAGCACGCAGGATCCACGCGGGCTGGTCTGGAGTGCAAGTAACAACTTTACCTCCAAAGTGGGTCCAGTCGACAGACTTGCTGGGTAAGGACAACCTAGGAAGAAAGGTGCGGGGGGACAAAGTTACGGAGCTCACCCGGACAGCCTTCTCGGGGCTGTTCATTGCCGCAAGGCTGGATCGCTTCCTTGCGATCAAAAGCAGCAACGGCCTAATGAAGCTTCAATCCCCAGGTCCCCAGGGTGTCCGAGGCGGCAGTGCGCATCGGGCGAGGACCGGCACGCCCACCAAGCACAACGGGCTCCCCCGGGTGCGGACGCCCTCCCTTGGAGCTCGCGCCATGGCCGATCTCTGCTCGGCTCTCCAAGGCGACGGAGCGCCCCAACATACTGCCAGCTACTTTCTACTCAATGTGCCGTGTACCTGAGCCGTGTACCTGAGGTGCCATGTACCTGAGCCCATTACACCAAATCTCATTCAACAAGAGAAATCTCTGTCAAATTCCACCTAAGATCATGACGTTGAAGAAAAATTAAAACCAAGACCTTGTTTAGCAAGAGCCAAGGACTCGAACCCTGGAACTGGTGATTCCCTCGCCCCCCTCCTTGATAACCGTTGAAAAGGGCTGTAGAGGAAGGATGGGGACAGCGGCTCAGGCCTCTTGGAGGCTAGCCTGTGTGCGAGCGCAGGCGTGCGGGAGGGGTCGCCCTGAAACCAGTGACTTGCTTTCCATCAGAGGAGCCGCATTACCTACGGCCAGAGGAGGACACACCGGGACAGGGATTCCTAGGTCACCTGGATACCAGACCCCCCCATGATCTCAGAGCACACAGCCCCGCAGGGCAGCCCCCGGGGGAGCTCACCCAAGCGCCCTTGCAGGACAGCCGCCCTGGGGCTGGCGGCCGCACACGGGCAAAGGCATGGGCTGGAAGGACAGAGGGCAGCCGGCAACCGCCATGAGCACAGAGCACGAGTCCCACTCCCCTCCTGCTCTCGTCGAGCCTCCTGCCGCGGGCACGGCGAGGGGAAGGGACGCCGCGGCGGGGCCTTACTTGCTCAGCTCCTTGCTGTGTGCGTCCGCTCCCTGCTGGACCAGCCTGTCTAGGACTTCCGCGGGGGAGGTCGAGGGCGGATAGTCTTCCTCTGCGTTTCCTTTTGCTTTCTTTAACAGTTCCTTGGTCTTCTTGCTGACAAAATGATGGGCGGTCTTTGGCAATGCCACCTCAAAAAGATGATCGTAAGGGGGAGGCTGCCCACTTCCAAACCCCACTCCCCTCTGAGGCGGAATTTTACAAGGGCTGGGAGTGAGGATGCTGGTCTCCAGCGAAGTCTGGCGCTCCCTGTGCCCGGCAGGGCTCTCGGCGGTGCCTCCGCAGGGCGGGTCTATGGGAGTAAAGGCTTGCTTTGGTGTGTCAGGCCCACACTTGTCCAGGGAGGAGTTTAAAGGCTCAGGGTTCACACTGGCGCCCTGAGCGCCAGAGGTGGCCGAATGGTTCTTGCGAGGACAGCCCGGGAGATTGTCCTGGTAGAAGGGAGAGTCAAAGCCTCCTCGAGGAACCAGGGGCTCGGTCTCGGCCGTCGTGATCTCGCACAGTTCTTTAGAGATCGCCGCTGAGAGGAGGGAGGGAGACGAGAGCCAGCACTGTAAACGGGCCACCTGGGTAAGGCCAGGCCATGCAGGGCTGTGTGCTGCCACGCGGTGCGACACTTAAAGGGCCACCCCTTTCCCTGGCATAGGACCCAGAATACACCGCCCACCTCCTTCCCCCGAGAGAAGAAAAACCAAGCAAGCCTGGGAGAGTTGACACTCAGCCCCGGTTTCAGGGCGCCAGGAGAGTTTTACCATCTCGCAGTAATCTTGTACGAGCCCAGAACCCCACACACTACCTTCTTCTTTAGCTTTCTCGATGCTGTCCTCTTCGGAGGCGAGGTCTCCTAAAAACCCTGGAAGGTCACTTAGAGTGACAGAACCTTTGCTGCCAGGTAGCTCTTCTAAGGAGAAACGAAAACAGCTCACGTCAAAGAACTACATGGGTAACCCCCCAACTGTGAAAGCGCTCGCCCCGCGTGGACGGCGTCCGTAAGCGTTCTTCCTGCCGTGTGAGGTGAGGAGGCTAGAACCAGCCCCCCCCGGAGCAGCCCCAGAACACGAGGCTACCGCAGGGAGTCTAATTAAAGGTACTGAAAAACATAACCCCACAGAAAATAAAATCCTCCATTCTCAACATCTGAGAGATCAGCTACACACCACAACCTGACCAGCTCAAAATGCACGTTAACAGGTACTTCACGGCAATAACTTAAAGGCTTTTTTTGATGTTATTATTAGGTTGGTGTTTAGAATTAATTACGCCTCACTCTCTCTGGCCTTCATCAGTTTGTGGTGGTCCCGAATTTCCTTGTTTGCACACATAACCCAAGAAGAGACAAGCAAGGTCTAGGGTTACTCAGACTTTACCTAATCCTCTGTCATTCGGGAGATGGTGCTGTCTATGTAGACAGGGCCTTGCTGAATCTGTTTTCTCTTCCTGAAAAGACAGGTACCATTTATGTCATAAGGCAGAAAATTGTGTACGTGTTCTCTTGTGTAAGAGACATATCCTAAAAATCTAAACTTTAACGCTTTATAAAAGAGTTTAACATTTGGCTCAGTGGTTTAAGCACTGTTTGGTCTCAAGTACCTTCATAGTCTTAAAAACCAGGAGTCCCATGAGCTTTTATTTATGTGGTTCTAGTACAGTTATTACACTAGAAATCAAAACAGACATTTTAAAAATGTTTACTACTTCACTTAAAAAAAATAAATCCAGGGCGCCTGGGTGGCTCAGTTGGTTAAGCAACTGCCTTTGGCTCAGGTCACGAACCCAGAGTCCCGGGATCAAGTCCTACATCAGGCTCCCAGCTCCACGGGGGTCTGCTTCTCCCTCTGACCTTCTCGCCTCTCAGGCTCTCTCTCATTGTCTCTCTCAAATAAATAAATAAAATCTTTAAAAAATAATAACAATAATAAATCCATTATGTGTAAACATAAATGATACAAATTCTTATGAAAAATAACTAGTTTCCAAAACAACACACATGAAGTCAGTGAGATAAGTGAAGCTCTTCTGCCTTCATGCTCCCTCTTCTGCGTGTGGAACGGAAGGAAGCCGGAAGCTCAGGCCAGCCTCTGCGCTCAAGCTGCTACACTGTGTTATTCTGGCTAAAGCATGAGAAGGAACTTCTAAGCCCCAGTGTTAAGTAGTTATAGAAAGACTTAACCTTTGATGACTCGACAAGGAGTCATTTCTCAGGGGTTACCACGTGGAATCTGAAAGCAGGCCACGCCACCTTTCATGCTGTGGTCGAGACCGTGGGGGCACTCTGGGCTCTGCACTTTTGCCTACAGCGGCTCTGGACCATCGCACAACCGGACACTTAGAAGATCCTGACTCGCCCTGTTGGGCTTCCCAATGTGGAAATATTCACCACATGACATCAAAAACTCGATTATTCACCAGGCTCCCTAGAAATTTTCAATCTCTTCACAAAAGTCTCGGGGATACCATCAAGCTCATGGCGACAGAGATCAGGTTTTTTGTACTCTAATTTTACCTGAAAACTGAATTTTGCCACCAGCAGCAAAGACTGTCCATTGTTTATTTTGAAGTGACAGCTGGTCACGTAAGCAGCAGCCTGTCCCAGCCCAGGTCTAAACAAGCATCGGCCATTGGTCGGCTGTCCCTTCACAACACACTGGCGCTCCCCGAGAAATGCAGATAGTCTAGCCGTCAACTCACATCATGGCACCAGGGTCTGTGATGGATCCCCTATTTTCTCTCAAAGAATATTAAATAGGTATGTCCTCAGGGGTCACGATATACTAAAATAAATCCTTCTTACTCCTTTCCATGAACACTCTTAAGGCACTGGCATTTTGGCTTTTTTATCTTTTGTTCTTTCAAACCGAAGACACACGTGACAGAAGGCGGTGTGCATCAGTTTGGTGCCGGCCCTGATCTGCGCTGGGGGCCGGCCCTTCTCCGCCGCATCACTCTGTACCACAAGTGCAAACGCCAACGTGGTCAAGAGGGGAAAGGGCAGGTTAGTATTACTATGAAAGCAGTCCAGCTCCTGGGTCCCCCGAGAAGCTTCTGGAGCTCCAGGGTAAGCAGATAACACTCTGAGAGCTGCTGGCGAGTCTGTATTCAGTTGCCCTAATCCAAACCCACCACATACCCGGTCCAAATTCCATCTGACATAACGAGATTCGTGCCCAAAGGGAGGCCGCACGTGGGTCACCGATTTGGGGCAGAGGGAGCGCAAACACGCCGGCACATACCTTCTTGGGGGGTGTGGCTGTGGCCGGCCGTAGGGAAATGGGCACGTAGTCGTCCGAGTGACAGAGCGGGGCAGGAGGGGGAGACGTTGCTGGGGTTCCCAGAGGGGTTCCTTTTACACCTGCTCATAGGCAAGGACAACATATACACCATCACCAAGCCTATTAGAAAACTCTCAATCTTTTCAACCTGCCTGGGATAAGGAAGAAAGCCGCTAGAGTGAACTTTCTAGGCGGCTTGAGTCATCTTTTTTTTTTTTTTTGGTTCACTTTCTAGGTTCTGAAAACCCCCAAGTTTTGTATGAACTGTCAACCACAGGCTGACTGCTGCAAGCAGCCCCAAACTCACTGCTGGATTAAGAGACAGTCCCTTGTCACACACAGCAGGCCCAAACCGACCCGAGTCCCACCTCAGACGTACATACCAGTTGTACCAAAGACTTTACTGTAAGGGTGTGACAGATCAGGTGGGACATTTCCAGGAGACGTTGGAGGAGTGGTCATACCACAAACCGTAGATGGGCTCCAGAGAGCAGCCTGGGGAGTTAATGAGGCAGGTCAGCAGTGAGAAAGGAACACCAAAGCATCCCTAAAGCTTACACTCATGACCGGACAGAAAAACGCATCTTACTAAAACTTTATTATGATGCACTGTATAAATCTAGACTCCAAGAGAAACCCAAGTGGCAACAGTAACCGCCTTTCCTAATACCACATATCCTTAAAAATAACTCCTAAAATGAGCAGGGTGAGATCTTCCCAACCATATGCTAACTCCCGACCCCAATGGTCTCTGCTTCGCCAGCACGCAGAGAAGCAAGCAGGCACACTCTTTCACACCATACTTGTGGCGGCTCAGTCAACAGCCGTGTCGATGGGGGACTCAGAGTCTGAGGTGGCTGCCCGGGCATATTTAACAACGTCAGCCGAGAGCTGGAATACGGGGTCGAGGTAGCACTCCCTAAAATGAAAGGGAAAGAGCATGTGAGATTAGTGTGCGATTTTAGATTATTCTGGGGAAAAAAAAAAAACGGCCCCCAAACCATATGATAATGTTCATATTTTTTAAATAACTGAGGGGACTCCTGACGTCTTAGGGACAAAGTAACACCTAAATGCTTCTTTAAGTGCTCTTCGGAAATAGTTCAGTAAGGTTGTTCTTTTGTTTTGTTTTTAAGATTTTCTTTATTTGGGGCGCCTGGGCGGCTCAGTCGGTTAAGCATCTGTCTTCGGCTCAGGTCATGATCCCAGGGTTGTGGGATCAAGCCCCATATCGGGCTCCTTGCTCAGCAGGGAGCCTGCTTCTCCCCCAACCTGCCACTCCCCCTGCTTACGCTTGCTCTCTCTCTGTCGCTCGCTCTGTGTCCAATAAATGAAATCTTTTGAAAAGATTATTTAGGGGCGCTTGGGTGGCTCAGTGGGTTAAAGCCTCTGCTTTCAGCTCAGGACATGGTCTCAGGGTCCTGGGATCAAGCCCCGCATCGGGCTCTCTGCTCAGCGGGGAGCCTGCTTCCTCCTCTCTCTCTCTCTGCCTGCTTCTCTGCCTACATGTGATCTCTGTCTGTCAAATAAATAAATAAAATCTTTCCCAAAAGAAGATTATTTATTAAAATTTGATTATTAAAAGATTATTTGAGCGAGAGCGAGCGGGGAGGGGGGAGAAGGAGGGAGAGGAAGAGGGAAAGAATGTCAAGCAGACTCCCCCCAGAGTGTGGCCCCAACTCACGGCTCAAGCCCAGGACCCTGAGATCATGACCTGAGCCGAAATCAAGTCGGACACTCGACCAACAGAGCCATCCAGGCTCCCCGAGTTCAGAAAGGTCTGATGTCAAGTTAAGCTTCAGGGTAACTTGAAAAAGCACAGCCTGGATGACACCTCTAATGGGTAGTACCTACAGATAAGCCCGGCTTTTCTAGAAACAATTCTCAACTGTCCAGATTCACTCAAACTGTGTCCGTGAGTGCAGCAGCCCGGGGGCCTCACTGCGAGCATCTGAAACAAAGACCCCCAACAGGGTGAAGCCAGGAAGGCGAACCCTCAGGTCCACACTCCTCGTTCTGTGTTCAAGACCCATCCCTGGTCCGCTGGCGCACCGTCGCGTAGGAGGCCAAAGATGTGGGGCTCCGAATTAAACTTGAAAGAGGGGTTAGTCAGGAGAAACTGGAGGCTTATTTTAATTTACAGCATCTGGGAAACAGTTCCTAGATGCTGCAGTGAGTCTCACCCCAGGAAAAGAAAAATTAAGTGGATGTAATGAGCCATGCTTTCCAGGGACGAAGCCGAGGTCACTCTTACCACAGCTATTCTGCATGTCGACGTAAGGGCTGGCGGCCACATCGGCCGCACGATGAGGAAAGCGCGCGGACACCTGCGGGGACACGGAGTCGCCGTCTTCGTACGAGGCTTCTGCGGGGTCCAGAGAGATTTTGGCACACTCTATTACAACATCGTGTGTTTCTAATCTCTTCCACCTAGAAGAGGCAACGACAGTTAAGAAGGGCAAGCTGTAATCCATTTAACCAAACACCCAACTCTCAAGAACGCGAACGCAAGGCCAGGCATAGAACGAGGATTAGCGACGGACAGGGAGAACCCCACCAGCCCAAGCATTACACCGTGCGGTGTATTAAGAATCAGGCATCCATTCTCTAAACCTCCACCTCCCCTGTTTAAACTGGGCACATGAGGTTATCAGAACCTCATCTGAAGCGAAAATGTCAACAAACAACTGGGCAGCGCCTCCAAAGAGAGCGCAAGCTACGCCGGTCACCAGGGTAGCTTCTCCCCCAGACCGAAGGTCATCAAAGGTCCAGGGAGGCCTGGAAACTGCTGGGTGGCTGCAGTGGGACTTAAGGTCTCCTGTCAGAGCCGAGGGGGTCCTACTCCATCTCTAGACCAGCAATACGGCGCAGAAAGACTCAAACCTCAAGAAAGCCCACAAGGACATTTTTTTAAAATCAGCCAAAGATTCCTGTCCTATGACCCACAGTTCCACTTCTAGGATTTAAGCCTGTGGAAATCAACACACGGCAAGATACACAACCATACTCAGCACAGCTTGTCACAGGAAAAAGAAAAGAAATAACGCAAAATCACACCAAGGGGATATATTCTATAGAAGAAAAATTATTACACCATCCTAAAAAGCATGCTCTCAGCAGGTCACTGGCTGCCAAGCGTCAGGAAGGAGACTGACCACAAAGGACACGGAGGAACCTTGTGGGCATATGACATATTCTTTACCGTGAGTGTGATGTTTGTCAAAACTGAACAAACTGATGAATCTTATTGTATGTCAACTATACTTCCCTAAAGTTGATTTTATTTTATTTATTTTTAAAGATTTTATTTATTTATTTGACAGAGAGAGACACCGCAAGAGAGGGAAGACAAGCAGGGGCAGCAGGAGAGGGAGAAGCAGGCTTCCCGCCGAGCAGAGAGCCCAATGCGGGACTCGATCCCAGTACCCTGGGATCATGACCTGAGCTGAAGTCAGGTACTTAATGACAGAGCCACCCAGGCACCCCCTAAAGCTGATTTTAAAACTTATGTTTACAAGACTCAGTGGTTTAAGACGGTCAGGGTAGTGAGCTCCGATGAATAAAGATTCAAAACTACTCAGAGATATGCCCACAAAGAGAGAGAGAGATGAGGACACCAAGTGTTCAAATTAAAAGAACTGAAAGTCATGGGCGATGTCCTTTTCCTTTCTTACCTCTCCAGTATTTGCCAAATGGTCTACAAAGCCCTAATAATGAATACACCAGGTACCTGCTCCAATATAAACTTTCAGATGGCGTAATTTCGTTATCCAGTTATCCAAGGAAGCAGGAATCCAGCAAGACTCTCATTTTCATGTTCCAAATTTCACAGAAAAATCAGCCCTGCACTAAGGGCACGCCATGGGTTTACCCCAACAAAACATCTGCTTCCATACAATTGCTCTAGAAAACGCACCACTTGATCTGAGATGGTGACGATGGGATACCAAATACAGAACCAGAGAGTCCCCACGGCACGGGCAGCATCCCTAGGGGGAAAGCCTTTCGCATCAGCACCGCCCCTGCGGTCTGAGCGGGTGCTCACTGCCCGGGGTTCCTGCGTGCTAAGGGCAGTAGCCTCCCCAGGTACTCCCAGCACCAGGGGCGAGGGGTGAGGGGACAGCAAGGGTCAGGACGCTTACGTACACACAGGAGCCTTGCTTTTGGAGAATCCAGTGGACTCACAACACAGTAGAATATACATTTACATGTCTTGATTTAATCGGACTTACGCTATTTCCTTGGTTCTTAAAAGGATTTTTCACATTTAATGTCTCTGAAACTGGGAAGTCATATCTAATTAGTTGTGTGTTAGTTTTTGTGGCATTTTTTTCTTTCTCAGACGAACCCAAAATAGAAGGGCTCCGTGGCATCTTGCATTTAATGAAATAGGGTTGTTTAAAGAGTCAGTAAAAAGGTCTCTCCCATGTCCTTCCCCTCAACCACTTTGGCAGCTGCTTCCGGTCTGTCGGTGGAACCGGTGCCCGCCTGCATATTATTTTGAAAGAATATGCTCTACGCTCTGAATTTCCTGTATACAGATTGTACCCATCATCTGCAGACTTCTACTATGGCCAGCGAGGACGAAGACTGCTTCCGAATTTCCTTCTCCCTCCTCCCTGCTCTCAGCAGAGAGTGTATCATAGTTTCGTTTTCTTCAAAATTAGTTTTCAGTGATTAGAGTGTACTACAAGATTTCCTTTTCTGTTAGATTTAGTTTGTTCTGGAGTTTGGATTTTTCTGTTTCTTGTCCTCAGTCCTCTGTGTTTCTATTGTAATTCTTCCTAACCGGACTCAACGGCTCTGAAACAAAGCCTGATATAATTTTTACATAATGATGTGCAAATAAGCTACTGGAATTATCCTCCCCCTGCCCTCCCGCCGCACTAGCTCCCTTCTGGAGGCCTCTCTCTCCCACTCTGCCGAGACTGGTTTGTTCTGAGGGCTGCTATGCAGTGTTACCCAAAGACTTCCCGTGACCACGATCCAAAGTCAGGTCCCCCTTGCTTCCTGGGCTCAGTCTCACCGGATTCTACTCGCATTCTGATAGAACACATGCCCTAGTCGTTAGCTGAGAAGGGGGTCTATGGGAGGTAAATGTGACGGAAGCTGGGTGCTAGGTAAGCCCCTTCAATCAGGAAAGGTGTGTCCTTCAATATCCTGATTGCTATATTTCTTTGTATTTTTCATACTTGTATTGGAAATTTACTTCTATTATGTTTTCACAAAAGTTTTCTCCTCTCTAAAGCTCTTTTTTCTTAAATGTTGGCTTCTTGGACTGATTATTTTAAGTCTCTTATTTCTCTGCTCAGAATACTCTATCCACTGATTCTGCTGAGATAGTCTTAACTTTACCTTCTAGTTCTTTTGTTGAAGTCTTGACTTTAGCCCTCATTTTTCATTTTCAAGGGTTCTGTCTCTGAATGTTTCCCTCCATGGCATTCTGACCTCTGCGTGTGCTCAAATGCCCCATCTCAGTGGCTACTCAGATACTTTCCTCCTCTCTCTGTATTACGTTTCTTTCTAGCTCCCTTTCCTCCTCTTTATGTTGGTCTCTCTCTCTCTCTCTTTTTAAAGATTTTATTTATTTGAGAGAAAGAGAGAGCACAAGCAGCTGGGAGGGGCAGAGGGAAGAGCAGACTCCCTGCTGCGCAGGGAGCCCAAGGAGGGACTCAATCCCAGGACCCTGGGATCATGACCTGAGCCAAAGGCAAGTGCTTAACTGACTGAGCCACCCAGGCGCCCCTATATTGGTCTCTTGTCTTTTGTGATAGAGCTTTCCTCGAAAGCCAGATGACCCCTGCCTACCACCGGAAGCGAGGCTCTCTAGGCTGGCCTGGAACCTTCCAAGTTAGCATCACAAACTGAATATATGCATCCAATTATATAACCTCCCCAACCCACCAAGTCTACAGTTTGGATTCGGTTGTTTTTAAATATAAACCTATGGGAAGGAGGAGAAAGGGGGAAGACAGAGCAGCACTACAGGCTCCTAAAGCTGGAAAGCAGATGGGCCAGAGGCAACCTATGTAGCACATCCAAGGAAGCAGAACCCTAAGCTCCCATTGTTTCAAACCTAAAAGTCAACCTGACTTACACCGCAGGATCCTTAAAAAGCTAAAAAAATGTTTACACGTCAAGTACTTCTGGCACGGGAGATAAGCAGCAGGTAGATGAGGACAGCTAGCATGGGGAAGACAGGGTGAGAACTATTTGAGGGTCAGGGTCCTGAGATCCCCTCCCCACCTCTACAGTCCTGGGCAGCAGAAATCTGGGCTATTCTCTGAAGAGAGTAAAACAGATTTTCAGGACTGAGCTATTCCAGAAATAGTTGACAGCATTTAAGTGAGCCATGTCCATTCTGAATGCCAAGACCACTAACCTCTCTCACCACCAGGCTCTTCCCTCCAGCGGCAGCCAGATACATACAGACACACACACACACACACACACACACACACACACACATATCACATCACACACACACACACGCACACGGAAAGCTCAGAGGTGACAAGTCCCACCCTGTGGACTGCTCTTTGGTCTCCCTACCCAGACACCCGGAGATTACCAGATCTTTGCGGAAAACCTCAAAGACTTCAAAAGAACGACAGTGTACGGATTACATGGGGAACAAACAACTCCCAGATTCTCGAAGATGTGCACATCCATGAAACCTAAGACAGGCGGCTATGAAGAGGAGCACTCAGAGACCCATGAAAGGTCTTAGATGCCCAGAACAAGGCACAAGGAAGGAAACTTAAAAAAGGATTAGAAGCTAAAGATGAGGAAACCTTCAGAAAGAACAAAAGAGCAGAGAGAAAAAACAGGAGAGCAAAGAAAAGTAGAGGACACTCTAGGAGGTCGCGATCTACATACCAGCAGCTGCAGAAAGACAGATGTAAGGGAAGGAAGGAAATTAAGCACGAGATAATTAGAGAAACTTTCCTAGAAACTGAAGGAAAGAGTTTCCAGATTAAAGAAGGAGAAAGGTTCTGACAAGACAATGTCGGAACATGAGAAGAACACAGGAAGGGCTCTAACCTACACAGCCAACACGGCCAACACAGCCATGAGAAAGGAGAAGAACCCGGGGTCACAGCAGCAGTGCTGGCAGCAAGACGCAATGTTTGAATAAAGCCTTAAGGCTGCAGAATGAGGGGCCCGGAGGTCTGTATCCAGCCACATGGCTGCTTCCTTTCTCTGAGAGCTGCTGGAAGTTACACTCCCCGAAGACAAGAGCAAACCCAGAAAAGAAGCAGGAGACACAGGGGATGGGAGGTCCTGCATGAGGCACAGATCTCACAGGCGGGCAAATAGACATGTGGCGGGCCATCACCCTCATGCCCGCACTGTCTTCTTAACGGGGGGACGCAGTGTGCAGGTGACCCCAGCCCGATACATCATCTCTGCTCAGTCTGTCCTGAGTGAGCACTGATGAAGGCCCTGCTCTCCCTTCCCCGCCTGGGTCCGTGGCGCAGACGGACCCTGCCCTGACCTGCTCCTGGAAGCGGGTCACCGGGGGCCGAGAGGCAGCACACGAGCAGTCGTCTCCTCTGCCACGTTTCAGCAGCACATCCAGGAACCGGCCTCGCTGCAGGCCCTGCCAGATGCTCTGACTTGGGAGAGCACTGTGTCTCAGGCCTCCCCCGTGCATGACCTGGCCCACTGACGCCCCCCGCCCGGGGCCACTGCAAACTCTCAATGAAGGGAAGCCAGACAGGGACATGAACACCGGAGTCTCCCCTCACCTCCCAGGAACCCTCATCTGATAGTGACAGGACCGTCCCTTTCCTTAGCCTGGCTCGGCTTCCCAATTCACTTTCCAAAAGCACAACAATACACGGGGTAAAAGAAAGAACGATTAACATAAAAGCAAGACCGGGCATTTCTCTGAAGTGGGGCAGGGAACAGGGAGAAACTGGCTGAGGGCTGTGGGCGCAGGGACTCCCACGACGTTGCTGCACTTTACGGGCACAGCACGTGTACCTGTCCCCGTGCCCGTCTCTCTCACACGAAGCTGTTTCGCGCCAACTGCGGCTCCGTGTGGCAGAGGGAGGGCTTGTGAGGTGAGATCAGGCAGTGAACCAGCTTTTTCAGCGGGAGATCCCCAAATGTCAGTTATCTATGGACTGGTTTCCCCGAAAAGCATTCCATCTTCTGCCAGCAGGAGCATCCGCTGGCTGCCAGCCGGAGAACGAGGAGGAGGGAGCTGGGCCTCTCGGCGCTCCGCGCAGGGAACTTCACGCCCCGCTCAGCTCTGCCCGCCCCGCCCCGGCGTCCTCCTCGAGCATCTTCGAATGGGAAGCCTCTGGGAAGTCTCGCAGCTGCTCTTCCCCCGGGGAATAAACCTGGAGACTTCTCGGGGTCCCCTGGAGGGTGCCTGGCCACCTGCAGGGGCGGCTCTCCCCTCGACATCCACGCTGCTTCCAACCACACGCCGCTCGGCCTGCCTCGCAGTCACGGCTACCACCGAGCCCATAGCCCTCCGGGGGCTCCGCGGGCCACGTGTCTGCCCTGTAACCGCCTCCGCTCCCTGGCAGGAGCTGTTAATTCTGTACGTGAGGAGCGTGTTTCCGACAAGTACGAAGCTCGAGCAGCATGAGTCCATCAGAACAGTGACTCTCTGCGTAGAAGAACCTGTATTCCCACATAACCCCACAGTAGGGACATCGCCTTGGCTCTGTCAAGAGACACTGTGAAATTCTGAGTTGCCAGCCTCATTTCTATACCTTCGAGGGTCCAGTTCGTGGTCCTTGGATCCAGTCACTAATTCCGGGTGAATTCGCACGTGCTCCATCATTGGCTAGAAGAGTAGGAGTTGACAAATTATAAAAGGTTAAATTTCTGTGGCATCTCCCCGCAACAGAGGATTAGTTGACAATAAAAAGGAGTCCTGACACCTGCTACAGCATGATGACCTCTGAAACATTCTGCCAAGTGAATGAAATCAGTCCCAGAAGACCACGTACCACGTGATCCCCCATCTGGGAAACGCTCGTCAGGGAGGCAAGTCTACAGAGGCAGAAAGGAGATCAGTGGTTGCCTAGGGCTGGGGCTGGGGGCAGAGCCGAACTACTTTTCAAAATCTGTCCCCGACCGAATGCACAGGTCCCAGCCGCAGCGCGTGTGCACAGCACGCGGCTCTCCAATGAGCAGCCATCACTCACCCTGACCACTTCTTCGAAAGTGCCCAAGTTCTCCTTCATACTGTAGTGAGAGCGTAGAAAGGAGACAAAGTTGCAGGGGTACATTCCGTAGAGGCGATGAAAGAGAGCATAAACACTGGCGTGGAGATGGACAAGATAGATCTCTGTCACGTGGCCTGAAAGAGGAAATCACGGACAGGAGACTCAGCCAGACACAAGCAAAGGTGAGCACGCGGCCACCAGCATGACCTGCGGTTGGTTGCCCACACCTCGCTCCGCAGATAACGAAGAATGTTTCTCTAAAATGCAAATCTGAACATACCAAACGCCCCTATTTAAAATCTATCAGGGGCTCCCTACGGCCTTTGGATAAATGCCGATCTACTTAGAATGACCCATAAAGCCTCCGACAGATGTAAAGCTCCTCTCCGGTCTTCCCCCAACCCTCTCACAATGCTGACCTAACTTTCTCATGATACTCACCCGCCCTAAAATCTGTTCTTGTTGTTTTTTATTATTATTATTTTAACTAAACTCTATGCCACACGCGGGGCTCAAACTCATGACCCTGAGGTCAAGGGTCTCTACCCTAGAGTTGGGACTCAACCAACTGAGTCAGCCAGGGCCCCCTGCTCCCCCCAGTCTGTAACAATACTTCTCCACTCATATTCAGCATGAATTTCTTGAGCTTCTTGAACAGCCCTGTCTTACTCACCTCTGCACCCTTAGTGCCTAGCACAGTGCTTGGTGCAGGACGAGCATTCAAACATTTGCAGAACATATGTGAGAGATCCTTTTGAAATCAGGCTGTAGTCTTAGCTCTGCAGATTTGTAACTAAGGAGTGAAAAAACTGTTATCCAGAAACTAGCTTAAGGCGCTGTGAGTGGGAGAAACCCAACACTTTGTCCATCGCGCCTCACCCGGACCCCACGGAGAAGCCCGAGTCCACAGGATCTGCACGGCTCTTCCACAATAATGCACAGACCACTCTCTGCCCCCAAGAGTGTCCTCAGTAACCAGCATCACCTGGGTCTTGCACTTATTATTTAATCCCGTACAGGAAGCCACATTATCTGGTGTGACATGACTTACACACTTCATCTTTCTGACATGAACAGCTCGTGCTGGGTTTACCGAAAGATTCCAAGTATCACGTGCTTATAGCTGTGGAATCATCTGACAGAGCCTGACTCCCTGCCAGGATGGGGGAAAATCCCACCACGTTCAAAACAAGGACACCGATCAGGACCCACCACATCTTCCCTCCTTCACATGCAAGAAACAGGTTTCTCAGAACCCGAGGTTTGTCTTCTGTCACAAAAGACCAGCAGAGTAAGACAAAAAAGGTGCCACAAGCCTAGTCTTGTACTGCTGTGACCCGGACTGAAGGTATTTTGAGAGATGGAAGTTTACCAACAATTAGAATGTTTTACATCCTACCAGTTTCTCTGACAACTAATGCTCTTAAGCCAACAGAATGAGGAAGGTGTCCAACAGCCAGGCTTCTTTGTGCCTACAGTGAGCAGGCACACACCCAAGGTACTCCTCAGCCACTGGTGACCACCACCCACTCCAGCCACGAAATTCTACACGCCTTCCTTTACAGCTCATGACCTGTCGATCACGAGTGAAAGCATTCACTTGGCAGGGAACGACAGGTACGTAAGGGTATCTTTACCTGGTTTCTTCAGGCACCACGACGAAAGACGGCCAAAAATATCAAAGAAATCATGAAGGTGCTGCTTCCCCGACTGTGGAATCATGGGCAGCATGGTGATCAGCACTAAGACACCTGTTGTGAGGACGATGACATCGGTATCCATCTGCAGAAGGAAAGGTCAGGCAGGGAGAGACGTCTGTCAGGCACAGCATCAGGATCAGCACACCAAGGTGCTGCTCTATATTCCACAGGGTCACAAATTACAGGTCCCCTCACAGACTCATGTCCCTACCCCTCACATTTGGGGGGAATGACATGGATCAGATTCGACTATAATGAGTCTGCCAACATCACTTCTGCTGCCCCCGCACACACCTATCTGGGAGACAAACTTCACCTTGACCTGGGGACGCCCAAGTCCTCCAGCCGGGGGACACTCTGCCTATAGCACATGGGCGGAAGCATGACAAGCTGCCTTCACCAGAACAAAGGAACACGACAGTTCCCGTTCATGCAACCAAATCTTCAAATACTTACTTACTTACTTTTTGTTAATCCTTTTAAAAAACACTACACAAGTAATGTAATATAGTATTTTTAAAGGATGACAACAGAAGTATAATTTAAGAAGAAATTAGCATAGCACTAACAAGTCTCCTTAATTGCTCACCTTCATAGCAGCATTTACAGATCAGCAAATAAAAGAAGATACAGTGACCTCTGACCGTGTCTATAGTTTAAATATCAAGTCATATAACTTCAAGCTAACTGAAGATATTTAATACCCAATGGATAATGAATCAACTCGGCATAGCTACAGCAGCTCACCTGACCCATAATTAAATCATGAATGTTGGCCAAGTAACTGGAATTCAGATTTAAGAAACAAAATATTAATCGGAAGATTACCATGCAGGCTAAGACTTCATTATTACTGTTAAAAAAGAAAAGGAAATCTAAGCGTCTGGAAATAAAACCTTAAGTAGATTTCATTTTACTAAGAAATTTTACTAAGAAATTTTACTAAGCCTTTTGTCACGGCCAACATCTGTCTAGTAAGAACATAAAATACTGGTAGGAGAATCAAGAACACATAACCAGTGCCAGTACAAAACACTAACCCTAATTTGCTTATGGTAATACTCTAACGGATGGCTTGGGTGGCAGCCCATGAGGGACTGCCGAAGCTTACCCTTTTGGAAAAGGGAAGTGTTCTACAAGCTGAACTGAACTGTGCGGCCTCAAGATGGAGTTATATTCTCACCAATCCACTCACTTAAAAAAAAAAGTTAAGTTGTTCCAATTTTTCTTGTTTTGTGTCAACATTCAGTCCCATGTTTTTAGGAAGCCCTAGCAATGCAACTCCCCCTCCGGGGGGAATGACACGGCGACCCCACTGCAGAGACATAAATCAGTTCGCAGGGTGCTCTATCACACGACCCAAAGGTGCTGCCCACCAAGAACAAACACTACTGGATATTTTCATGTCTCTGTGAGGTAGAGGCAGTGAGTATTAGTCACATTATCTCAGGCTATAGCTAGGAAACGAGTCTGGGAATTACAAGTGATTTAGCTAATAGCCTGGAGTATTTCAGCAAGCCACCGTCAAAACTAAAAACCCCAAAGTTCTATTCAGGTTTTGACTTGCTGTGTAGAAAAATACACTACATTTAGTGCGAAAGGCAGACTGCGACCCCGGAGGCCTTGCATTAACAAAACCTTAATTATGGCCACAACCAGCACCTGCTCCTAAATGGTTAAACAGAGCTGGCAGCCACTTTTCCCCGAGCTAAAAGAGAATCCGGGCTTCCCCCAAAGAGAAACCAGATGTTTTAACGGAGGGAAGACGGGACAACGACGGAGTCAAAGACGGTGGGAGGCTGAACCGTATCTGCTTCGACAAAAGGCGCTCACCATCACCAGGGCACGCGGAGAACGGACAGAGCCCCAACTCTAGACGATGTGCCAGTCGAGGAAAGCCAAACGCTGATTCTAAACTCTCAAAGTTCAAATCTAGCTTACTCGCTTTAAAGTTCCCCAGAGTTTCAGAAACGATACTCATAAAGGCATTTCATTCAAACCCTTGCAAACATCGTACCTTGAGACATTTGAGTAAAGAAGGCAAAAGAGGTGCTTGGGAGAATTTGTGCTTCCACGGCGGCTGCAGCCTAATGACGTGCCCCAGCAGCGACAGCGCGGGCAGCCGAGAGGCGGCTCTGCCCATGCACTCGTTCATTTTGTCCAAGAGGTGCTAAACATGTAAAAGAACAGGAGAAAGAGATCTCAGTAAGGCTGGGGTGGGGGTGGGAAGAAATCAAGGGAAATGAGGGAAATCCTCATGCGAACGCAGTAGGGGACACCGACAGAGGTAGCTGTGACGTATGCCAGTCCCTTGAGTTGCCACGGATGGGAAGCAAAGGCCACGAAAGATCTTTAAAAATCACAGTGGCACACCAAACACAGCTAAGTTTTGCCAGAGAGAGGGCAGCAAGCTGGCAAGTCCTGAAAAAGATCCCATGATACACATGTGCAAGTTGGGAGGGGCCAGACTCCCTCATTCCTTATTAAAGTACAAATAAGCTACTTCTTCCAATAAGCGCTAGCCCCAAGCCTGTGGCAGGTTGTTGACGCTGTGAGGGGATCTGGCTGGAAACAGTTGCTTATGGTACCATAGCCCTGTCTACACGGTTTGGCCCCAAATATAAACTGGGTAGTCTAGAAATTAAAATTCAACAGAACAAAATATACTGGAAAAGCACATAACAGCAGGGTCTTCAAATCCTGGTGAAGCCACTAGCATATAGAAACTCAACACGTGGGGCTCCTGGGTGGCTCAGTTGTTGGGCAACTGCCTTTGGCTCAGATCATGATCCCAGGGTCCTGGGATCAAATCCTGCATCGGCTCCCTGCTCGGCGGGGCATCTGCTTCTCCCTCTCCCACTCCCCCTGCTTGTGTTCCCTCAATAACTCTCTCTCTCAAATAAATAAATTAAATCTTAAAAAAAAAAAAAAAAGAAACTCAACCCTTCACCGAAGTGTGCAACAGCCATGCTTTGTGAGCTATTTTCCACCAACAAAAATAAACACTAAGGAGCCCTGCACGAGCCTGGTGCTGGGCAACAGGACTCCACAATTAGGCCCATTAGCTGTCTGGACCCACAGATTTTCCCACACAGATTAAGTCCAAAATCCTACTCAAAGCATGGATTTAAAGATGGGCACCTTACGGGTCAAGCTGTCATTGTACAATGACAGTAATGGAATTATAGGATTTCTTGGAATAGCAAGAGCTTAAAACACCTCTGGAATACGTTTTATTTTGTAAACTTCTCAGGACTCATGGGTTCTGCCAATTATTTTTCTCTGCAGTTGCAATCTGGGAACAGGATCATCTGTGGCACGGAGAGGCGGAAGGAGTACGCTCTCGACAGACTGCACGGGCCGGGGGGTGCACACAGAAGCCGTCGCACGGGCCAGGGCCAGACTGAGCAGCCCAGCCCTGATGTCCAGTGGTTACCTTGTCGTGAGGCTCTTGCAAGGTAGTCAGGATGTGCAATACCGGCTGAGAATTCGTTTCCAGGTAATAATCCACCAGGGTGTTGACGAGCATCGGACCACGGTCTGAACAGAGGAAAAGGGAAGAGTTATTTCCTTTAATATCCTCAACTCGCCTCAAATGGCTGTCAGTCACAAAATCCAGAAAGTGTTTCTTAATGCTGCCCAAAGTTACATGACATTCTATTTCTACCCGTCAGTCCACTGAGGTTTAACAATAGGATGATACCAGATTAACCTGCCTGAACATCCACAAAAGCACTGAAATGCTGTCTTCTCTTAACGATTGCCATCTTTGATTATAAGATGGTAACCATGTCCGCGAATAAGGGTTCAGATGATGTGAAAGTACAGAAGACGAAAGTCCTCGCTACCGGCCTCTCTCAACCCACTCCTCAGAGACCAACATCCCTGAGTCTGGTCCACGGGCTTTCCAGCCTTTCCCTGGAGAACCACACACATGCACATGCGCACACAGAGCCCCCACGCCCACGAACACACAGTCTGAGCGCGTGTCTTCTTCCACTTAACAACATGTTGCAGACACCTTCCCGTGTGGGCCCCTCTGACCTTCTTCAGTGTCCCCGCGGACCTGGGGCCCCACTGCTCGGCTCTCCAAGACTCACTGAACCAGTCACTTACTGGTTTTCTCTAAACTTCACTTAAGGCTATAATGAAACACAGACTCTTGTCAGTGGGACACACGGTACATGCTTTTTAATGAATGGTGGGTACTCCAAAAAGGCTGAATACTGAGTTAGTCTCCTGCCAACAGCACCCATTTCTGTAATCAATAGTGGGTTTTTGTCAACCCAGTAAGCAAAGAAAGGTACTGTCGAAATTCCTGTCTCCCTGATTAAAGAGAGGTCACACATTTTTACACCAGAAATTGCATACGTGATTTCCGCAGGGCATTTGCTTGAAAATACTTGGGTGGGGGAGCAAGGGAGGTGAGATGACACAAGAAGGCAGTGACTTTGAAGCTGGGCCATGGGTTCATTATGTGATTCTTACTTAATAAGTCTGTGTGTCTATTTGAATATTTCCATACTCAAAAGCTTAAAGCACACAGAGAGTGAACCCGGCAATAGCTGCTCTTTTCTCAGTGTTTTAGAAACTCTCCATAGAAGATGAAAACCAACATCAGGAGACCGTAGTCACCCCCGGGTCAGTCTCTTCTGACGCGCAGACGGGCGCGAACGGGCATGGCCCCGCTTACCAGAGCTGAGGTTCTCTTTAAAGACAGCTGTCACGTCATCGCGCACACTCAGCAAGGGGGAGTCCAGCATGGACAGGAGCTCCCCGATATTCGCTTGCTGGGCCATTGTCTTACACGACTGCGCCGCGCCGGGTCCGGGACGTGCAGTAGCGACTCTGCGGGCTCTTCATTGGCGCCCCTACCAGACTGAGAGAAAGGAAGACACAGAGTGGGACAAAATGGCCCCATTTCTCCCCATAAAAAATTGCCTGCAAGGCAAACCAGGGCATGTGTTCAATGCAGTGAAAAGTCTGTCATCCAGAATTCCGCTGAGGAAAGAAGCCAGGGTGTGAGCATAATTCTACATCGGACAAACTTGCGAAGAGGACATCTATGGAATGCACCCACCGGAGAGAGACGGGGACACCGCCACCAGTCAGAACCATCGCGGCAACTTAATTCCAGGACCACAGCACAGTTTTTTACTTTGATTCCTTCTTCTGACTCTGCCTTGGGTTTTGGCTAAGACTATGTTTCCATCTCAAATCATCAGTCTAAAAACTAGAAGAGGGCACGTGGGTGGCTCAGTGGTGAACCGTCTGTCTTTGGCTCAGGTCACGATCCCAGGGGTGCTGGGACCAAGTCCTGCATGGGACTCCCTGCTCAGTGGGGAGTCTGCCTCTCCCTCTGCCTGCTGCTCCCCCTGCTTGTGCTCTTAATCTCTCTGTCAAATAAATGAATCTTTCAAAAAATAATCTTTCAAAAAATACATAAATAAAAAGTAGATGAGCTATTTTCAGAGAAAGAACTAAAAACATACTATTTTCCTCTTGACACTCCCATCGATGCCTGGAAGCTGGTCTAGCTTGTTAGGTCACAAGACCTTACATTCGATACCTCATTTGAACCGGGGACCACATCTCGGCATTTCACAAAAACTCCTCACCCCAGACATCAGTCACATTCAAATGCCACTGGTCACAGACAAGAGGCAGGAAACGGGGCACAAGGGTAAACCTGTCCCATTCAAAGACTCCATTCCTGCTGGTGGTGGAGTCGCTGGCTGATCATTATACAAAAAAAGCAGCTCATTCTCCAATTGTCACTATCCATATTTACAATTATTTCTTTCTCTAAAGGTCTATTTTCAAAAACAAGCGCAACCAAGGATCATTAAGAGATAGACCTGCACATCCATCACAAACATCAGTGAATCCAGTCCTTACACCAGTATCACGGGCTGGTTCTTTGGTCCCCATTTTATGGGGCGAGAAACAGAAACGAAGCCATCTGCCTGGGGTTGCAAAGCTAGCCAAGAAGCAGAACCAGAGAACTGAAATTTGAACCTAGATCTGCTCGACTACAAAGCCCTGAGCCCTTCGACATCAAGCAAACTCGTGGTTTTGATCCTTGAAGCAATTCTGTGAGGTAAGCAGATATCCTCTTCTACAAATGAGAATATGGAGAGTCGGAAAGGATAAATAACTTTGCCAAGGTCACCCGGTAAAGCAGCACTCGGATGGCTTAACTCCCAGGCCCAGGGCTGCGTCTGTCCTTGGTGGCCATGTTGCTTCCTCCACGCTGCTCTGAGGGGCTGGGATAGCAGCCCTCCTGCTCCAGGCTGGACCCAGACCACCTGGGGTGCCTCTTAGAAATGCAGCGTCCTGGCCCATTCCAAACTGACCTTGGGGCTTAGGAACCTGCATTTTAACAAGCACCTAGGGAGGAAACATGCTAAAGAAAAAGCCCACTGAAGAGTTAAGCGCCTCCTGCAAGAATGCCAAATTTAAGCACCAATGGCCCCAGAAACTGGTGAGTATTAACTATTATCTATGCTTTTATTTAATTACAACCCCCTGCAACAGCCACTGATTTTGCTGTCCATCAATCTACATGCATTTCTGATAGCTAATCATGGCGTAAGAAGTTGCGGGCTCACACCTATGAATATAAATCTTACAGGTAAATCATGAAAGGCGTCCATTTCAAAGGACTTACACAACTGGTAAGATTTTCTTATAAGAGTTCAGAGCTGAAAATAGACAGAAATTTCACCTTGTGAGTTGGATTAAATTAATTTTACAAGTGAATAAAATACCAACCTGTCAGGATTTATTGTCCACTGAGAGAATTAAATGAGAGAACATACGCGTACACTCAGCGCAAATAAAGACTCCAAGCAGGGCCCATAAAGTATCAGAAAGAAAATCAGTAAAAATTGTGGGGCCACCACTTTCAAGATGACTTTTTCACAGCATATTCATCTGGCTAGCCCTCACATTCCTTTCTTCTTCGGATAAATCACAAATGATTCTCAGGTTTAAAAGCATTTTCGTCCCTAAGTTTGGTTTTTGTTCCGGTAAAACTGCTACCTACCTAGTCTCAGTCCAGTGAGACTCTGAGTTTCTAGTTTGTGTATTCAGAAGGCAGTAATGTCAGAGCTGGTCCCCAAATCCAGGCAGCCCAGAACACGGGACAGGAGTTCCGTTCCAAACAAAGATGGCGCCCATCCGGTCAACTTGGCCATGGTCAGGGCTGACCAGCTTGGGCTAGTGCGCTTGCTTTTCAGTTTGTAAATGTCATTTGAAGTGTCAAAGTCTGGTTTCTGGAGCCTGTTCCTTCCAGATACTTTATAGAAAGCAAAAATAAGGTTCCATTCTAAACCACACTGGTACATTTCTGGCAACAAGCTTTTCTCTTTGGTTCTAAAATTCTACCTTTCAATCACATTTTTTAATCCTCCCCAAAAATATAAATCTTGGGTTTCAGGTGAGGTTCCTCATGTAAGTGCCCCAAAGTTTAAGGATTCTGACATTCAAAAAGGTCCTCCCCAAGAGTTTAATCATGAGCTTTTAGAATCATTCCCATGAATGGAATATCTCTTCTTTTAAAACTCATTCAAGTATTTCTCGAGGGCTCCGTGCAGGGTGCTGAGAGGGAAGAGCGACTCAGCATGCACAATGGAGACCTGACGTGGGAGGAGGAAGGGGGCAGGGCTCAGTGGGTACACTGAGGGGAGAGGGGGCCTGCTCAACCTACACGTGGGGCCGGCGGGTGAGGCACACCCATGTTAGACACACCTTTCAGCCTCGGGAGACCACAGGCACGTGCAGCATCGACTTACAGCTGCAAAAGCCTCTCTTCCATTCTGGAATAACCACGTACAGAACACAGGAGGCAAGAGAGGCCGAAAGTCAATACCCAGGTTAGTACAGCTCCGTACCGTACGTGCCAAAGCAGCATTCCTCTAGGTGAGTGTCATCTTCAGTGGTCACATGTCACACTACAGTCTACAGATGACACTACTCGCATAGGGAGCCATGACTTTCAACAGCCACTCCCACCCCAAAACCTGTCACTCTGCAGGTCTCCTGGATCTCAGGAAAACACACATCCATCAGTCTATAGGAAACACTGTGGCGACGTCCTCGACTTCCCAGCTCTCACCCTCTCCTCTGATCGGTCAGCAAACCCCCTGGTTTTGCTATCCCCTTCGTTATTGGACCAGTCCAAGCCCCAATACCTCCCATCCTGCTCCCCTACGATGCATCTACCACCAAAACACCACAAACACTGAAATATGGACATCAGAATCCATCCCTCTCCTGTTTAGAATCATGCAATGGCTTTCCATGGAGGCACTAAGAGCCGAACCCCATGAGTGGCCTAAAGGCTCCATGTGCTTTCACCAGCTGTGAACCCCCCAGCCTCCGTCTGCTTCCTTCTGCACCACTCTGCCCCATCATCTCTCTGTGCTAGTCCCAGTGTCCCAAAAGCCAGGAAAACTGGTTCCTGCTCGAGGACTCTGCCCCTGGCACCTCTATCCCTGGAATGCTCTCTCCCAGATCCTTGCATGGCTGACTGTCTTTGCGGTCTCTGCTCAAAACGTCACCGTCTGTCAGGTCTCTCCTGACCACCCAATCGAAAGCAATAGGGGCATGGTTAGTGACCACCTTTGAACAAACCAAGTTTAAACTTTACAGCTGGTCATCAGATTCAACGGACCAGAATACTCAGTACGATCACAGCATGTGGGGAAAATAGGGATTCACCCAAGTTTGACTTGAGTCCCTACATCTGGCCAACAACTGGCTTTGGTCTTTAGAATGTCTGAAACTTGAACCGTCAACTGCCTACTTCGGCAGCATTTCTAGCGTCCCTGAGCGTGTGTGATCAACAACTACGCGTCATTACCATGATACCAAACCCGCGCAATGTCCGCAAGGTGCACAAGACATGAGTTCAGAATTACTGTTAAACATCTGAATGTTCACTTTTGAATAATGGTAAACCGCTCTGGCTGTAACATCCAAGTTTTGTGTTTTATAAGTTGAAACTCTGTCAGTTTAAGTACAAATGTATACTGATGAAAAAAAATAAAAGCTCTTTTAGTTGATCAATGTGACTTTTTTGTTCAAAAACAATCCAGAACTTTCAAATGACTAATATGTTAACTAGCAATACGAATATTAAAAATACCTTTACAAATAAGAGTAATCACTCTTTGTGCCAAATATTTATAAAAATTTTAATGACAGATGGCTAAGAGAAAATTATATTTTAATTCTAAATTTTATAGAATTATCTTGCAGCATTTATTACAAACAAAATAACCTTCTAAAACTGCATTTAACTTATAGTCTTAATTAGTCTTTCAAGAAAAAGTCATATTTGGGAATATTTCCCATCTCATGAGGATGAATAAAAAATAAAATAACCTGTCACCTCAATTTTATGACATGAAAAAACCCAAAATCACAGTCAGCAACATCCATGATAAATCATCTTCGAGCCAAGCATAAAGAATATAAAGAAAACAATGTTAGTAAAAAACTGAAATCCTCCAAACACATTTTACAGTCACTAATCAAATTTCTAAACAGACCTTACAAAAATGCCTTAGGAAGACAAGGTCTTGTAGTTTTCTGTCTGTGAAGGCTAAGAATGTAAACAAAAAGCTTATCAACATGATGGCCACAGGTCATCAGCAATTATTAGCACCTAGGGGCACCTGGGTGGCTCAGTGGGTTAAAGCCTCTGCCTTCGGCTCAAGTCATGATTCCAGGGTCCTGGGATGGAGCCCCACAACCGGGAGCTCTGCTCCTCGGGGAGCCTGCTTCCTCCTCTCTCTCTCTGCCTACTTGTGATCTCTGTCTGTCAAATAAATAAAATCTTTTAAAAAAAAAAAATTACTAGCAGCTAAAGACGAAGGATCCGTGAGGCTGACCCAACCTCTGAATCCCAGATACAGGTTCCCTCTAGAAAACAACCTGCCAGAAACTTCCCTGAATTACATCCCGCTCTATCCATGAAGGTTAGCGACGGGACTGCGCGCAGCAGCTGGAGATGAGCGTCTGCTCAGCATCACACGTGACACGGTGACCACAGGAGCAATCTGGCTGCGAGTCCTAACAAGGTCACTTGCCTACAGTAAAACTCCGAACTTTACAAGTCTAGCTACTGAAATGTCACCCAGTCACAGTACTGAAAAATGTGGAGTAAATTTGAGGTTTACGATGTGTGTTACTCAGCTGGGGCTCAATGACAGGAACACAACCACTTAACGCTGGGTTCAAGTCCACATTCCGCGGACTTCCAGAGAAGGGACAGTGGAAGTACACATGGAAATGCTGGAAAGGAGAAGTCACACTGAGAAAGCTCCGCCTCCTTGTGCGAGAACGCTGCTCGGCCTTCATAGCCACAAAAGCCTCGTTATTTATGAAGGATATAGGCTGGGACCCTGAGAATCCTCCAGTCCCTAGAAACTGTCACAGCATTATCATTCATCCCAAACGCTAATGAGGACAATTAATAAACAAAGCCAGGTGAAGGCGTAAATGCGAATTCCCAGCTCCCGGGTCCTCAGCCCAGGATGTCCACAAGAACCTCATTTACGGAACCCTGAAGCACAGGCCCCGCTCCAGAGCAGGTTAAGGGGTGCGGTCGAGAGAGCACAGGTGGAATTTGCACAGAAATCCAGGGGGATCTGCACAGCCCGGACTGAGTGCCTCTGCACTCGGCAAATGATTTGCTCCAACACCAAGTCTTCAATTTTGTTTAGGGTGAAAACCAATGCTCGCTGCTAGACGGAACTGGTCTGAGTCACAGGTCCGCCAAGTGCAGCTACACCACCTTGGGAAACTCAGCCAACATCTCAGCACCATCCCTCATCTGTAAAATGGGGCTACACCACAAGTGTCAGTGTGAAAAAGAAAATGAGTAACACATGCAAGGAAAGCACTCAACACAGTGTCTGGCACTGAACGGGCACTTAATAAACCCTGGGTCATTTGACAAAGTACTTCATGCCACGGAAGGACCAGTTCCTAGCAAGTAGCTAAAACCAGAACTGTTAAATCCTGAGTGCAAACACATACGCACACACCCTGCACAACTGTACAAGTGAGCAATTCCCTTCTATCCTCTCCCACCACTGCGCCGAGTTTATACCTTACCTGTTCTGGGGACAACTGGTGCTTTGGTTTCCAGTGCTGTCAACCTGGTGTCTTTCATGGTCACTGAAGGGAAAAAACACATGTAATGTACACAATAATCTTACAATGAAGTGAAATCCCAGAGGCACCCCGAGGGAGCTTAGGGTTCACCTGGCTCGACCTCCTTCCTGCTGCAGCCCTGACAGGTGGCCGGCCAGTTTCTACCGGAATGCACGCTTACAATGGTGGGCACACGTGCCTCTCTCTGTCTACATTTCTGAACAGCTGGTTGCTGGAAAATTCTTTATATTGTGCTGAACTTGTAATCTCTGCCTTTTGTTAGCTGTTTACTGGAGCAATAAACAAATGGGCAGGATGGGCTCTCGAGTCCTAGAGTTCCCAGGTACAATCCCAGCTCTGCCACGTATTAGCTGGGCCACTTCTGGCAGTTTCTCTCAGGTGCCTAACATCTGACCTTGTTACTTCATCTGGAAAGCGAGAAGAATAGCGGCCTCTACCTCCGAAGGCCGTGTGGGGTTACACAAGACGATGCCTCCGGGAGCCCTGGCATAGCACGGGGCACGGAGTCATCACCCAAGCGGCCCCGAGCGCAGGAACAGTGCCCGGTGCAAAGCACTTAGTAGGCTTCCCTCTGGTCGCCACCCCCATGCTCCCCTCCCTCCCTACAGCCCCGCCCCTCTCGCCTACCCACTCCCAAGCTAAGCGTTCACCCCTACAATCTCAGCTTAAACATTTGCTCCATCGTGCCTGGGTGGCTCAGTCGGCTGAGCATGTGACTCTGGGTTTCGGCTCAGGCCATGATCTCAGGGTCGTGAGATCGAGCCCCAAGTAAGGCTCCGTGCTCAGGGGTTGTCTGCTGGAGACTGTCTCCCTCTGCTCTTCCTCCCACTCACATGTGGGCGGGCACATGCACTTTCTCACTCTCTCTCAAATAAATATATCTTTTTTTTTTAAGATTTTTTCATTTATTTATTTGACAGAGATCACAAGGAGGCAGAGAGGCAGGCAGCTGGGGGGTGGGGGGGGGGGAGCAGGCTCCCTGCCGAGCAGAGATCCCGATGCGGGGCTCGATCCCAGGACCCTGGGATCATGACCTGAGCCGAAGGCAGAGGCTCAACCCCCTGAGCCACCCAGGCGCCCCTCAAATAAATATATCTTTAAAAAAATATATTTTTTGCCCCATTAGAGAAGGCTTTACTTCCCTCCACTCCCATGCCCCAGACTAGGTCAGGTCCCCTGTCTTATTTGCTTAGCAGCCTATATTTCTTTGTGTCACTTACCACAACCCAATTAAATAAGCATAATTAGTTACTGAACTCGTCTCCCTCACTGGAACAGCAGCTACACCCGGGGAGAGAGAGCAGCTCAGTCAGTGCGGCAGATCTAGCGGCCGCCACGGCGTCTGACTGCACGGAAGCCGTTACAGTAGTTCTTAAATAAACGTATGAGGCTGAATCCTGGCCTTCAAAACAGCACGACCTTCATCTGATCCCTCCACAGGACAAGCATAAAATATTTGCGGACAGCTATCATTTCTCTCCCCTCTTCCTCTCTTTACCGTATTTCCTGTCTAAATGATCTCCTATTAAGTAAGCATGTTATATACATCTCTACAAATACGTTCCAATTCGCCTTTAAAATGTGAGCCATTCGGGCTATTTTTAGGTACGGTCTGGCCACGAGATGGTAAGTTCCACGAGGACAGGAACCACCTGTTTGGTCCCCCAGTGGACACCCCAGGCCTACCGCAGCATGTGGCACTCGAGAGGCAAAGACATGGCGCGTGGTCCAGCAAAGGTTTCAGCAGGGTCTCTGGTCGCCGATCCAGGCTGGGAGGCAGAGGACGGAAGCTGAGCCTCGGCCGCTGCGTCGGTCCAGCGAGTGAGCACGGGCAAAGCCTGCCGACAAGCCCTTCACTACACTACGATGCTCGAAGCCCAGCTCGAGGATGGAACAACTCTCTCACTATCAAAATCTCGTGCCCCAGACAACGAGTAATTACATCTCCCTGGGGAGCACACTCTAGGCATTAAACAGCAGCAGGTCTTGGTGGCATACTCCAACTTTACATCCGCTGCTGGGAGGCAAAGGGCCAGCCAGATCATTCAGACAGGGAGTGCCTGCCTGGCCAGTCAATCAAGAAAAGAACTAGAGGGGCGCCCGGGGGGCTCAGTGGGTTAAAGCCTCTGCCTTCGGCTCAGGTCATGATCCCAGGGTCCTGGGATGGAGCCCCACAGCATCGGGCTCTCTGCTTAGAAGGGAGCCTGCTTCCTCCTCTCTCTCTGCCTGCCTCTCTGCCTGCTTGTGATCTCTGTCTGTCAAATAAATAAATAAAATCTTAAAAAAAAAAAAAAAAGAAGAAAGAAAAGAGAAGAACTAGAATTACAACACAGATGCCTCTGTTATCTAGGACCTCAACATCAGCTGTCGGTCCAGCAGGACACAGACTTTCTGCTACAATTCATCCTAGTTGGGTCTTTTACCTGAAAAGGAACATCCAAAGGCAAGGCTAACGCTGGGACACACGCGAGAGGAGCTCTTGCAGCCGCCCAGCCAAGACCGCTGTCCTAGACAAAGGGACTGGCCCAGGAAATCAGAACTTTTGTTGTCCAATGCTCAACATTAAGACTTCTTAAATTCTTTATCGCTAGGCCAAAATATGGTTTAATGGTAATAAACTGTCATCAGTCTAAGGCTGGCTTGTCAAAGGCTACTTGCATTATTTATATTTTTAATTATTTATTTACTTATTAATTTATATTTAGATCCTGTCCTATGGAGTACTACTAGCTAAAATCACTCTGGTCAGTCAAGTGAGATGTGACCTTGAACTTCTGATAGGAAGCGAGGAATGAAGAAGGCCCTTCTCCAGGATGTGTACCCCTAAGGGGCGTGGCAGGGAGCACCTATCACAGCCTAACAGGATCACGCCACACTCTTTTCTTCAAGAGCCAAATTAAAGAAGAAACATGCCCCCAGATCTAGACTCTTTCATATCTGATCCAAAAGCTGTGTTCTCACCTAAAATCAACACTGATGGTACTTCCTACGAGCAGCCTTTTTGAATGAATAAATAAATAAATAAATAAATGGTGCGTGGGTTTGAACAAGAAGAGGGTTCTGTGCTATTAGTAATTTGAGGTTAAAGAGCACAGGTCAGGGCACCTGGAAGGCTCAGCTGGTTAAGCATCTGCCTTCAGCTCAGGTCATGATCCTGGAGTTCCGGGATCGAGTCCCACATCGGGCTCCCTGCTTGGCAGGGAGTCTGTTTCTCCCTCTGACCTATTGCATTTCATGATGTCTCTCTTTCTCTCTCTCTCTCCCAAATAAATAAATAAATCTTAAAAAACAACAACAACAACAACAACAACAAAAAGCACAGGTCAATTTGTTTTCATAGTTCATCTTAATTTGATTCTTAAGGTGTTTGCAGATAGATGGCTTATATACGTAGGATTATACACGAACTTAACACGGACAGCTTCACAGCCACGGACAGCTGTCACTGGCAGGACCCATACACATGTTTTCACATCTCTCTGCGCTAGGCCAGATGCAGTACAAGCCATGAGAGGGCTAAGAGCTATCTACCTCTTTATGAAACACTAGTGGCAGGCGCAGAAAATGCTCTTACGAAGTATTTTATCTGAGTATCAGCTGCACGTCCAGACTTTTGGAAGGCCAGTACTGTGTGTGGCCTTCTGTCCTAGGACTCCCCGGAACTGTACACCACATGGCCTGAGGTTTTACGCACAGCTGTCTACAACGAATACAGGCAGGCGGATGCCTTTCGCCATACCTGCTGTCCCTACTCGGGTTTTTCATCTATAAATTTGAAGACAATTCAGATAAGGTTCAGGCACAGACTATTTCAGTATAAGTACAGGACAGGCAGAACAGAACCTCCCCACCATTATGTTAATAACAAAGATAACAGTAATAATCATACACTAGGACACTATTGTGTTCAGCTCCGGCTCAGGAACGGACTCAGGTGATTTCTTAGGACAATATTCTATCAAGTGAACCAAGCCACCTTCAGCACAAAAGCATCCAAAAAGGATAAGATACTAGCTCCGATTCCCTCTTCCCACAGACACACAGAAGGAGAAGCGGGTAGGAAACGCTACTTTGTATGTCAGAGGGAAGCAGATGATGGCAAACCCTGCCAAAACGTGTAGTCGTGGGGGACTTCCACGGTCTCCCAGCTGCAGGCCTCTCAAGGTCACACCAGCTGGGGCAGGGGAGCTCCAGATTTGCCATTCAGAATTTTTTGCCATCAGGGACTTTGAAGGACAACTCGCTGAAGCTTTTACCCTATTTCGAAGGTGAATCTTGTCAAACCTGCCTGCAGGGACAGAGCTTGATTTCAGTAAGATACGGCTCTTAGATAAATGTTTCTTTAGCCTGAGCAAAATTATTTACCGAGAAAATAAGGCCAGACAGATACCATGTATGCTTCAAAGAGTCACCCTACAAGCTTCCCCTATAAGAAATCTGAGCAAACTATTAAGATTTCTTTAAGTTTCAGGTTCATGGAACTAAAATAGAAACACCGTGGGGAATAAGGGCCGTTTGACTGACGGTCTAGGACAGTGGTTCCAAAGGCAGTCCTTGCACCAGCAACGGCAGCATCACCTGAGGATTTTTAGAAATGCACTTGGACCTCGAATCACACCTCTGAGTCAGAAACTCTGGGGGTTGGGTCTTCTGGGTCATTCTGATGCCCACTAAAGGCTGAGAACCACTGGTCCAGGAAGAAAAAGGATGGTGCCAAGAAACACCAAAAACATATTATTTAATAAATCATTTTATAAATACTCTGAGGTTCACAAGGAAAAAAATACACAGTGCATAAACCTTGGAAAAAAGCCCAGTGGAATTCTGCCAGGTGCTAACGGTACCAACACAGACTGAATGCCAGGCCTGACAAGCTTTTAGCAAGTTCCACACCTGAGATCTCCACTTCTGATTTTTTTAAATGTGGCATTTAAGGTTGAATTCCCAGGGAAGTGTAAAGAACCTTTCAATATAAAAATTTAACAAGAGGATTTATAATACAAACAGCACACAGGTCCACCTTTAAAAGGCTTGGGTCTTTCCTACCTACCATTTTTTTTTAATTGTTTTTAATAAAGCCCAAGTCCATTTTTAAGAGGAGCAATCTATCTAGAATAATCAGTTGAGGGGCGCCTGGGTGGCTCAGTGGGTTAAAGCCTCTGCCTTCGGCTTGGTCATGGTCCTGGGGTCCTAGGATTGAGCCCCGCATCAGACTCTCTGCTCAGCAGGGAGCCTGCTTCCCTTCCTCTCTCTCTGCCTGCCTCTCTGCCTAGTTGTGATCTCTGTCCGTCAAATAAATAAATAAAATCTTTAAAAAAAAAAAAAAAGAAGAAGAAGAAGAAGAATCATTGGGCTGCAGGCTGGGTCCATAAATTTCCTGAATGAATCTGTACGAACTGTTTGATAGTAATGGGATAGGAAGGGATACTTGGTTAAAGGCTTCCCACGGATTTTCAGAGGGGAACTGAGGCCCCCCAAACGTTAAGAACCACTGACCTATGAATCAGTTTATAAGATTAGCAGTTCATGTCATTTATCAACGTGAAAGATGAAATGTTTGGGGTCTGAAGTCAACCAAGAGGGTTCAAATCCCAGCTCAGAAGGTGATTAAGTGACCTTAGGCCTGTTTCTTCATCTCCCTATCCTATCCTATCTCTTAAGACTGTGGGGAGAGTTCAAGGGCATCAAGCATGTCAAATGCTTAGTACAGTACTAGCCACATAAGTACTCCTCAAATAAAAAGGCTTATAACAGTATTGCTACTGAACAAAATGTATTGCTGGGTCCATAAGGCTTAGCAGTCTCTCCATGTAACAACTTGTATGTGAAACATTGATAAAGCTGTTCCAGAACTTAAAATGTATACACTTTGCGTTTGCTACTGTGCTCGGTGAACCACTCAAAGTAGCACAGGTCTTACCAAATGCATGCAGACTTTAAGGTCACTACATCTGTCCTTCCTTATCACTCCCTACTGGGCTTTCCATCACCAATAGAAAGACAAAATTGTCCCTTGTTACTCAAATACTTCATGGTGTCTTTACTTTAGAAAGTGATCTCTGAGTTCTAGGCCAGTAACTACCATGCTTTGTTTTGTATCAAAGCTAGGTTTTTAATGCACTTTACTCATTAGATGACATTCTGATTCATTCATCTGTTACCTTTTGCTACTTCCCTGGACAGAACAAAAGTTAGCACTGCACAAGGGACAAGAAGAAACTAGCAAGGACCTAACATCATATACCTTTTTTATATAAAAAAGAGTATTCACCATTGGGGGGGGGCTCTTTTTTTATTTACCCCCTCAAAAAAAAACCACACATAGACATTAGGTATTAAATGACTAATTTCTTGTAACTATAGGCTTAAAAAGTAAATCAGAGAAAGAAGAATCTCAAACTGCTGAGAGGAAACCTCTTTCAGACCAATTTAAATGGCGAAAAATTAGTATTGTCATGCAAACTAAATTATACTAAGCACTGAGGGAAAAAATTCAAATGTGCATGTATGCTAATTATACACACTTTTTTTTAAAGCAAACAGCTACAGGTTTGAATGTTATTGAGTACATTTTGCTTTCATGCTTAATTTCACCTACTTATATGACAAACAAAATTAATCTCCCAAAGAGAGACTTATAATATAATGAACTTACAGGGAATTACCTTTTAAAAAAATCATGTGATATAAAGGAAAGGACAAACAAGTCATCACTCAATGGGTCAGGCTAAGAGTCCCCAATCTGCTTAGTTATTATAAACCCATTAACACTTGGATTCAATTTACTCAGAATGTTTACCTGAAGCCCCAGGAGGACTTGAAATCCCAGAAATTTATCAGAAATCGTCTAATTCACAATTCAACTCTCTTACCTCAAAGATGAAGAAACTGAAACTCAGAAAACTTCAATGGCTTTTGAAAAGTCAAAAGCTATTTGATTTTTAGGAAAAGCTTAAAATGGTTGATGTGTTGCTGTTTCGGGTTCATTTGCATCCAAGAGTGTACAATTAATTCCAGGAAAAGCTAATTTTAGTCGGCTATGGCTCTGGAACCGGGAAAAGAACATCCCTGTACCCTAACAAATGGTGAAAGAAGACAGAGCTACAAGATCAAGTCAGCTGTAATTCAGAGCCCAAAACTCACCCACCACTACCTACACCAGAGTTTCGAAACTATTTTAGGAAATGTCTCTGCAATACATTATACATTAAAGGAAAAATAGCCAAATTGGTACTTGAAACCACTGGTCTTCAACTTCTGGTGTACATGAGAATCACCTATGACTTCTTCCAAAATATATTTCCAGGGTATCCTTGAAGACCAAATATGTAGGGTCACCTACTATGAAGCCAGACATCTGTGCATGCAGGTTCTGGTGAACATTACTGCTTTGGGATCTCTTGTTCTCCGCAACTTCACTATTCGGTAAACACTACATAGAAAGGTACGTGTCTGATTTGTCCTGGTAAGACTCCTCAGTTTCAGCTCACAACTGAAACCAAGCATGCACAAAAGGCATCAGGTTACACCACAACAGCAGCAGTCCGGGATATCTTTGCTCTTAGCCCAGGGAGGGAGAGCACAACTGAGTCACAGGACTTGACACACTCCAACTTAACCGAGATAAGTGAGAAAGCTGTAGCCACCTAAGAATCGAACTAGGAATTTAGAAACATACCAAGTCTTTATGACACTAGGAAATGCATGAAGTGAAGAAAGCTTACATCATCTACCCTTCCAGGCACGTGATGTAAGAGCGTTTTGGATAAGATATTAACTTTAGTAAGAGGCTATTTTCATTTTACATCTTCTATAAATACCCCTTAAGTTTACACCAGGTGGTTGGAGGAAGATTCTGCAGCTCCCCAGGGCAATAGCGAAGAATGTTTCAGTGTTTCTGAGGAGCCTCATTTGCCTGATGCATGACTGTTACAGGGACATTTCCCTGCACAACCTTAAATCAGCTTTCGTATTTGCATATTCCAGGTTTACTCAGGAATGTTCAACTTAAGAATCACAGGTGGTTGTTCAGTAAATCAAGGGCTCCCAGAAGATTCGGTTTTATGATGCTTCCTGAAATTTACAGCTCCACTTTGCCAGCATGTTTGAATTCAGATGACTCCAAGTTGATCCCAAAATTATAAATCAAAGTATCTCAGAAGAGTATTATTCTATTTTAGTACTTTTACAGCTTACTCTGTGTAAAGTGAAGTGCTATTTCTATGCTTTCCATAAAAAAACCAGCAAGGATTTTAGTAGGCCTTCTTTCTGCAGTAAACGCATCAGTTTTACAAAAACATCAAACACTTGCCAGCCTAATTTAGACTAACATATTTACAAGCACAACACTGCGATCCCAAACAAGGCTAGAGTGTACATGCACCTACAGCTATATACCTATACAGCTAATGTACCCCTCTTCAAAATTACACACACACACATGCACACGCACAGGCACTTGTGCACAAACTCTGGCCAACTGATTAACAGAACGACAGGCTGGCTTTGGTCAAATAACAGATAAATGAGAGAATAAACAGATGAATGTGAGTGTAAATCATGACAGGAGCACCGTCTTGGAACCATTGGCATAGCCCCAGACCCCGATTCCAGCCCTGGCTCAGAAAAACGCAGGGGTGTGAGCTTGGGCAAGTAACCCTAATCTCTCTGGGCCTCAGTTTCTTGTCCAGGGAAATGGAGGTGTTAACAGTGGCTGCCTCTTCCCTTTGTCGCAAGCACTAAAAGAGATAATGACTGCAAAGCGCTTCCCTAGTGAGTACTCCAGACACGGAGCTGCTGCTATTAAGGGGGCCGCGCCCCCTCCCAAGCAGTCCCACCCCCCAAATCCAAAACACACGAAGCCAAACTCTTCAACAGGAAACACAAAGAGCTTTAATCCTACAAGCTCTCCCGGACTGCGGGCTCTTCATCTCCAGTTCCTCAAATGAATGAATGAGCGTCTAGGAGTGGCTCTGCAAACAGCTGTCTCTTGAGGCTCCCCTCTGCTGACTTTAAGGTAACTGTCTTTCACCAGCAATTAAACACCCACAAGCGCACCCGGAGAGAGGCCCCTAGTCCTGCCAGTTTCAGCGGGGACACCGAGTCCAGGCGAGTCTCCGATGCCCACAGGCAGCCTCCATTCATTCTCCTCCCCACCCCTGACCCCTCTCCTGAAGCCCCAGAACCAGCCGCCCTCCCCCCATCGGCCCTTACCCTCCGGACAAGGGTCCCTCCCCTGCCCCCCGCACCCCGCGAGAACCTGTCACCCCACCAAGTGAGAGGCTGGCGAAGGGGCCCACCTCACCCCTGCCCTCGGCACGGCGCCCTGGGGGTGCAGCCGTCCCCTCCGCCGCCGACGAGGGGCGAAGTGCGGGCCCGGCCCCCCTCTCCTCCGCAGGGACTCGCCAGCTCTGCGGGGCCCCGCCAGAGAGAGCGCGTAATAAGAGGGAGGGGAAAGCTCTCCGAACACCCCTTCCCGGGGTTCCCTCTCCAGCAAGGGAGCCCCTTGCCCCAGCCCCTCGGGGCCTCCCAGACCGGGGTCATGGTGCCAGGGCTGCCCCGAGAAGCCCCCATGAAAAGAAGGGGGAGACACCCCCATACTCACCCACCGTCTCCTCCCCCTCAGCTGTTTACCTCACAGTTCTTCCAGCCTACAGGGCGCCGCCATCTTGGACGTACAGCACCTCCCCCCGTCGTGAAATGTCCACGGCCGCTGCAGCCTCCGCCACGAAAAAGAGTTCCGAGTTGGGTCTCGCCTGCCTCTCGGCTCCAGTGACAGATGACCGCAGCCGGCAGCCCCGTTGGACGGAAGAGGCCGTCCTGTTCATTACTGATAATGCGGGTCAGTCGAGAAAGGACCCAGGAGAGTTTGGAAGGCAGGGGGGCGGGGACGGGCGGAGGGATCCCGAAAGGGGGACGCTGAGAGATCTTGTGACTCCGAAGGAGGCGAAAAGAAGGGCCGGCGCGGCGGGAGGAGCCACGCGAGGGAGCGAGGGGCGGGGCGGAGGTCACGTGCCAGGCCCGGCGGGAGGGGCCGTGCAAGAGGCGTAAACAAGGTGGCGGGGCTGGGTGTGGTTGGGGTGCCTGCTGCCTCCTTGTCCAGCGCCGTTCCTGTCCTTGCAGACCCGGGCGCCCCGCCGCAGAGATGCGAGCCTGTTTCCCAAAGAGCCACTGGGGCCCGCGTGGGTGAAGGGTCCGCCTTGGAGCTTTGGAAGAGTGGCAGCTCGCCCAGGCAAGGAGGGAAAACAACACCGGGGCAGCTTCTTTCCTTTGCAGGATATTTGCGGGAGCCCGCCTTGCTAACACTACAACGTGGTCACCAAAGCTGTGGGAAAGAACTACCCCGTTCAGAGCAGACAGCTTTAAAATAAACAGCCTTAATTCCGTTCCTTCTACTTAGCTATGTGAACCTAATAAGTCCGGAAGCCCTCAGCCTCAGTTTCTTCTTCTGTGAAATGGGCCGATAGCCTTCCGGAAGTGAGGATTCAAGTCTCACGCACAGGAAATGCTCAACAGGTGCTGTTCTTCGTCAGAGGCGGGCGCAGTAAGCTCTCTGACCGATACAAACAGAGTGAGAGAGCAGAGGGAGAGATGAGTCTAAGGGTAGGTTTTGAAAGGTTTTTTGAAGGAATGGGCATCTGCTGGAGTTTTCAAGGAAAGATAGGTTTCTGTGACATGGAAATGGAGAGGGAAGGAAAGGAGTTGGAAGGAAAAGGGCATTTCAGGCCGAAAGCACCAAGGAATCAAGAGCCTGGAGGCAGCAAATGCTGGGTGACTTAGGGGATGGCAGGTTTTGTCATGGGAACGAGTTGGGTCACAATGCAAGCCAAGCCTGTGATTTTAGGGGCCAGGTGCCAGACACCACAGTGGGTGCTGTCAGAATTTCAAGGGGCCTAGCGGGGTCCTGAGTAGGGCAGCTGCTAGCTTGTATGGGGGCGCCTTTGTGAGAATTAGAGACACCCCTTCTGGACCCACAGTTCATGTGAGCAGAGCCCAGGATGTATTTCAGCTCCTACCCTCCCACTCCTAACCCTCCTGGAGGCCCTTGTACAGTGCACAACCTTTATAACCATGCTGACTTACAGGGGAGATAGGCATTGAGCTGGGGTTTCATCCAGTCTAACGTGGTGAAGGAGGCCTTGGGGGCAAAGCCAAGAGTTCTTGATTCAAATTTGAATGTAGGTTTCTGCCACTGTACCAAGTTAGCGTTAGTTTTCCTCGTCCACAGCATGGAGAATAATAATGACTGCCTAGTTGGGATTTGAGGCTGAATCAGTGAGACATGAAGACATAACTAGGGTAAAACCTGCTTCAATACATGTTACTTTTGTTCCTGTGTTCATTGCGCTCGTGGCCAGCATCCATCACTCCCAGGACCTGGTCCACCAAATGCTAAATTCTGTGTAGCCACCGGAGCACAATCAGCTTGGGGTCCAGAGATAAAAAGGTTGGGGGAGATTGGGAAGGATCTGATTTCTTCCAGTTCCACCAGTCCACAAACCATTTTACAGGAATGGACTCCTGCCTTTGTATTCATACGAGGGCAGGGAGGCAAGTACATTTGGAGATTTCTGAGTCTGGTGATTAGAGTGCTCAGGTTAGGGGTGGAGTCGGGGGGCCAGGCACTGCTCCAGAGCTCTGACCCAGGAACCTCCCTCCCTACCCCCAGTTTTTCTTGGCTCTCTGACCTCATCCTGCTGGAATGTTCTCCGTGGAAGGGAGCAGTGATCCATGGAGCTCATCAACTGCTGGCCCTCAAGGGGGCCCTAACCACATTCTTACTGTTTATACAGTGTCTGGAAGAAGAATGGTAATTGTTCTCTCAATATGGACCACCAGGGGTTTGAGAGAAGAGGCCAGAGAGAACAGGCAGAGGCAGTCCGGCCACCATCCCTTGCCACTCTCAGTTCGGGCTGCCTGGATATTTTCTCCTTCTCTGGGATTAAGTTTTGTCATTTGCTGAATAGGTGTTCATGAGACCACCACCTTCCAGGCGGCACCCTGGAGCCTCCTTGTGGTAGGAGCTCCCCAGCTGGGCTTTCTCCACCAGTTGAGGTCCGCCTGTCTCAATGTGACAAGAAACAAAGGAGCTGAGCCTGTGTTGGCAGGGGGTGCTGCCTCTATGCATGTGATAGACCTCCACTACACTTGTCTGGACAGCGTCTCCCCCTCCCCTTCCTGGGGCCACCACAGCACCACCCTCAAGCCACAGGCACCTGGGCCCAGCCTAGCCAATCGCAGATCCCCATCCTCTAGCCAAAGTGGTTGGCTGTTGGACATGTGACTTGAGCTGGACCAATCAGGGTGCTTCCCTGGGTCTCTATATGGATGCAAAAAGAGAGATTGTGTCTTTCCCGTGGGGTCACTAAACCAGGGTTAGGAAGCTGTGACCCTCCACTTCCCCGTGTCCTACATTAAGCCCTGAGAGAAGTCCAGCCAACAGACGGAGAAGACCTACATGGCAACAGCGATAGAGATGGAAAAAGAAATCTGATTTGCTATCTCCTGAGTTTTCAGAGTCCCCAGAGGCTGGATTTGCGCTGGCCTCCCAAGTGCCATGAGGCAACAACTATTTTGGCCGACGCTGGTTTTGGGTACAGGTTTCTCTCTTTTGCAAACAGAAGGCCTCCCAGGTGCAATGAGATCTGAAGGCCTTTGGAAGGACACCACTAGTACAAAATACTCCTCCCTCATCTGTTGGCGTGGTCCTCTTATATGGGCTTTCAGCCCCTCGCTGTCTAGCCCTGTGTCCAAAAGATGAAGACAATAGATGTCTACACTACACACCTATATGACTCTACACCTATGTATGCATGTACTTCTATATAAATGGTTTATGTCTCAGATGGCAATCTGTCTCTTACTTTTCTCCCCCCATTCACCATTGTTTTGAATCTCTTTGCTTTGTGTTCATGTAGCCAGTTGCTTTAAACTGCTGACAATTATTCAGTGATGCAGATCTAACCTGATCTACTCTCCACTCTCCCAGGGAATAACAGCCACAGTCCCACCAGAAACAACACCGTGAGAAACATCACTGTCCTTGTTCCCTTATGGATAGGGCTGAGAATTTTGGGGGGGATGCATATTCTAGGAGTAGAACTGGTGGACTGACTTTTTGTTGTTGTTGTTGTTGTTCTTAGAGAAATTGTTTTAGCTTTATTGGGATATAATTGGTATCCAAGGAATTGCACACATGTAATTGTCTGTATCCAGATGCTTGTGGACATATGCATACAGCCGTGATACCATTGCTACAACCAAGGTACTAAACATATCCATCACCTCCAAAAATTTTGCACCGACTTACCACCAAATTGTTCCCCAGAAGGACTGCCCCAGTCTACTCCCACTAGAAGTCCGTGGCAGTGCCCACTTCCCTGCCAACGCCTGGCATCGACTAGCTCTTTCCTTTTTTCAGCATAATAGGGCTATAGTGACATGTTCTTGTTTTAATTTACCTTTCTCTATTAGTGAGATAGAGCATTTCTTCACCTTCTTGTTAAGCTTGTGGGTTTCTTCCTCTATAAATTGCTGATTCTTATCTTTTGGCCATTGTCGCAGCAGAGTTGGTAGAGTTACTGTCTTTCCCGTGCTGATCTGTGGGAGCAGCCCCCTGTTCTAGCAACGTGCCCCTTGTTGGCTATAGATATTCCCTGTGTCTACCCCAGTCTGTTATCATCCTAATGACTGTATTGTACTTTGTTGGAAAGGAGACATTAATCCTGATGTTATCAAACTCCTCTCCTTTTTTTTTTTTTTTTTGAGACTTATTCTTTGGGTTTTTGAGGTTTTGTTTAAGAATGCCCTTTCCAACCCTTGTCCCGGTCAGGAAGGAAAACTGGCCGCCGGTGTGCAGCACAAAAACCAGGTTGTTCAGTGAGCAGAGAGGCCCAGAAGAGTGAGGATTCTGGGTCTACAGCCCAGCTGTATGGCCTGGAGGAGTCACTGAACGAGTTCAGTTTCTCCAGCCGGAGATGGGGACGACGCCCATACCTTACCACCCGCTTCAGGAGGTTGCTGGGACAGTGCAGCATGAGACCCAAAGCACCTGCCGCAGTGTGGGCGTCAATAAACATTGTTTTTGCTCTTACCTGCTGTATGAGTGTCCTCAGCTGCCCTACCAAATTACCGTGCGGACGGGGGGGGTGCTGAGAACGGTGGAAATGTATTCTCTCACTGGCCTGGAAGCCGGAGTCTGAAGTCACGGTGTGGGCAGGGTTGGCTCCTTCTGGAGACTCTGATGGAAACTGCATTCCATGCCTCTCTCCAGCCTTGGGATGGTGCGTCAGACTTTGACATCTGTAGCAGGGTCACTCACTTCCCTCCTTCTGTCTTCGTGTGACCTTCTCCCTGGGTGTCCTCACACGGCCCTCTTCTCAGTGTGTGTCCGCTTCTCTTCACACAAAGACACCCGTCTTTGGATTTGCGGCCCACATTAATTTATCCAGTATGATTTCATCTGAACTGCACTGCGTCTGTAAAGACCCTCTTTCCAAATAAGGCCACATTCTGAGGTTCCAGCTAGACATGAATTTGGTGGGGGGGGGGGACACTATTCAATCCCCCATGCCTGCTTCTAAGGAGCACAGAATCCAGTGATGAGAATCCAGTGATGAGATGGAAAAGGGACCAACGGTACTGTGACTCAGAGCCAGGTCCAGCCCAAGATCACCCTGCAAAGTGTCGCAGACAAAGAGGTCGTACTCAGAGTTAGCGTCATGAAGGCCGCTTACTGGTGGGGGTGTGTTACGAACT